TCCTTTGGCACCACCGCCTTGGTCACCCCTCGGTGCAGCGCCTTTGTAGCATGTACCGCCGTTTCCTTGTCTCTGGACTTCCAGAGACTCTGCCCCCTCTACCACCCTCGCCTGCTCCTCCCTGTCTTCCCTGTGTTGAGGGGCGGCAGCGCGCCGCTCCTCACTCCTCCTCGTTCCCTCCCACAGAGGCTCCCCTGCAGACTCTCCACCTGGACGTGTGGGGCCCAGCCCGCGTCCGTGGACAGGGCCACGAGTGGTACTTCCTGCTGGTCGTCGACGACTACACGCGTTACACGGTCCCTGATGTTTTGATCCCCTGGATCCGCGCTGTTCGTCTCCAGCTCCGCGAGCGGTTCCAGTCGGACTTTCCTGCCCTGCGTCTGCACTCTGACAGAGGTGGTGAGTTCTCCTCAGACCTCTTGGCAGCCTTCTGTGCGGAGCACGGCATCCGCCAGACGTTCACGCTTCCGGCCTCTCCGCAGCATAATGGGGTTGCTGAGCGCCGCATTGGCTTAGTCATGGAGGTCGCTCGTACCTCCATTATCCATGCGGCTGCCCCCCATTTTCTGTGGCCGTTTGCGGTCCGGTACGCCGCGCATCAGCTCAACCTCTGGCCCCGTGTCTCCTTGCCAAAGACCTCGCCCACACTGCTGTGGATGGGGAAGGTTGGCGATGCGTTGCGTTTCCGGGTCTGGGGTGCTCGTGCCTTTGTCCGCGATACCACCGCAGACAAGCTCTCCGCCCGCGCTGTTCCCTGTGTCTTCCCTGTGGCTTTGTCCCTGACGCGCCTGGTTGGCAGTTTTACCACCCCACCTCGCGCCGTGTCTTCCCCTCTCAGGACGTCACGTTCGACGAGTCGATTCCCTTTTACCGTCTCTTCCCCTACCGCACTGCCCCTCTCCCCCCCCCGCCGCTCTTCCTCGCTCGAGGTGCTCCCCAGGTAGACCCCCTCCCTGCTCCCGGTCCTGCTCCTTCAGGTGTGTCTCAGGTAGACCCTCCTCCCTTGACTGAGCCGGTTGAGGTCACTGGTGACTCAGGTCCTGCTGAGGGTGGTCCTGCTCGGGGTGCTGCTGCTGGGGGTGCTGAGCCTGGGGGTGCGGAGCCTTGGGGTGCTGAGCCTGGGGGTGCGGAGCCTGGAGGTGCGGAGCCTGAGGGTGCGGAGCCTGGGGGTGCGGAGACTGGAGGTGCTGAGCCTGGGCGTGAGGAGTCTGGGGGTGCTGAGCCTGGGGGTACTGAGTCTGGGGGTGCTGCACCTGGGGGCGCTGAGGCGTCTGGTGAGCAGTCTCCCTGGAGCGGCCGTCTCCGTAGTCGCTCCGCTGGTGCCTCGCCGCTGCACTCTCGTCGTCGACTCTATCTCTCCCCACAGCAGCTGCTTGAGTGGTACGTTGACCGTCAGGGTCGCGCTGCTGGAGCTAGGGGCCCTGCTGCGGGAGGCGCTGGAGCTGGTGACTCTGCTACTGGAGTTGTTTCTGCTGGAGGTTCTGGAGCTGCTGAGGCTGCTGGAGCTGGAGGCTCTGGAGCTGCTGGAGGTGCTGGCGCTGGTGACGCTGGAGCTGGAGGTGCTGGCGCTGGTGGCGCTGGAGCTGGAGGTTCTGGAGCTACTGAGGGTGCTGGAGCTGGAGGTTCTGGAGCTGTTGGAGGTGCTGGCGCTGGTGGCGCTGGAGCTGGAGGTTCTGGAGCTGCTGAGGGTGCTGGCACTGGAGGTTCTGGAGCTGCTGCGGGTGCTGGCGCTGAGGGCTCTGAGTCTGCTGTTACGCGGTCTCCTTGGAGTAGCCGCCTTCGTCCGCGTGTGCCTCTCACCTCACAGCAGCTGCACGACTGGTACGGTCGCCGTCAGGGTCGCGCTTCTGGAGCTCGGGGCTCTGCCGCTGGAGGTGCTGAGCCTGAGGGTGCTACTGCTGGAGACCCTGGGTCTGGGGGTGCTGCTGCTGGAGACACGGAGGCTGTAGACCCTGGGACTGGAGGTGCCGGTTCTGGGGGTGCTGCTGTTGGTGGAGCTGGACCTGGAGGAGCTGGCGCTGAGGGTTCTGGAGCTGCTGGAGGTGCTGCAGCTGCTGGGGGTACTGGAGCTGCTGGTGCAAGTGTCACTGCACAGCCGCGCCTGTTCTTCGCTCCACCGTCTCCGTCGTCTCAGCCACCGCCTGACTCTGTGCTTCGCCAGGTTCTTAGTCTCCCTTCGTCTACTGGTCTTCCGTTACAGCCTGGCTCACCGCTGCTTGCTCCTTCTCCTTACACTGAGCAGACAGGGGGTCTTACTGAGCGTCGTGAGCCTGCGTCGCGTCCTGTCTCGCCTGTCCGTTCTGGTTGGTCCGGTCGTCGTGTTCCTCGTCCGCGTCAGCCCGACCTCGTAGTCCGTCGTCCTTCCTCTCCTTCGCAGCGTGTTCCTCTGCCGTCTCCTCCTGCGTTTTCTCTGCCTGTCCTTGCGGACCCAGAGTCTGACCGGTTTCGTGCTGAGCACCCTACTGTCACGCGTCTGCTAGCCACTGTTGTCACTGACCCGTCGTTTGAGTCTGCTGCTGCGTCTGCCTTAGTCGCTGAGCTTGTTGACTTTGCTGCTGCCTGTCGTCTAGACTACGCCGCTAGTCTTGTTGCTGAGTCTGAGTCTGTCTGTCCTCCGTCCGTCGGGGGTGAGTGTGCTCTTGGCACGGCCTTGAGTGTCTTGCAGCCGCTGCGCCTCATCTCGTGTCCATGCTGCTTGCCCCTGAGGGAGACCCGGATGCTCCAGACATCCCGACCCCGCGCTCTTACGCTGAGGCGATAGCGGGTGAGTACTCCTCTCAGTGGCAGACAGCCATGGACGCAGAGATGGCATCCTGGAAGTCCACAGGCACTTACGTCGACGAGGTTCCCCCACCTGGGGCGAACATCGTCAGTGGCATGTGGATTTTCAGGGTGAAGCGGCCGCCGGGTTCTCCGCCTGTCTTCAAGGCGCGTTACATTGCACGAGGTTTCAGTCAGCGAGAGGGAGTAGACTTCTTCCAGACCTTCTCCCCCACCCCGAAGATGACCACTCTTCGGGTGCTGCTGCACGTTGCCGCTCAGCGTGACTACGAGCTTCACTCTCTTGACTTCAGCACAGCCTTCTTACAGGGCAACTTGCACGAGGAGATCTGGCTGCGCCGCCCACCTGGCTTCACTGGGTCGTTCCCTCCTGGTACCCAGTGGAGCCTCCGGCGGCCGGTCTACGGTCTCCGCCAGGCGCCACGTGAGTGGCACGACACACTGAGGACGACACTTGCGGCTCTTGGGTTTGCTCCGTCGACTGCTGACCCGTCGCTGTTTCTGCGCACCGCCACTTCGCTGCCGCCGTTCTACATCCTCGTGTACGTTGACGACTTGGTCTTTGCCACTGCTGACACTGAGGCTCTCGCCCTGGTGAAGTCGGAGCTGCAGAAGAGACACACGTGCACAGACCTGGGTGAGTTGCGCAGTTACCTTGGCTTGCAGATCACCCGGGACAGAGCACGCCGCACCATCACACTGACTCAGTCACACATGGTGCAGCAGGTCCTTCAGCGCTTCGGCTTCACCTGGTCCTCGGCACAGGCCACTCCTCTGGCTACAGGTCACTCGCTCTCAGCTCCACATTCGGACGAGTCCGTAGAGCCGAGTGGTCCTTACCCAGAGCTAGTGGGCTGCCTCATGTACCTGATGACCTGCACTCGTCCTGACCTTGCGTACCCTCTTGGCCTTCTGGCTCGCTACGTGGCTCCTGGTCGGCACCGAAAGGTGCACATGGATGCTGCTAAGAGGGTACTGCGCTACTTGTGCAGTACATCGGGCATGGGGCTCGTGCTTGGAGGACGGGGCGACGTTGTCCTCACTGGGCACTCGGACGCTTCTTGGGTTGACGACCAGGCTACGCTGCGGTCGTCACAGGGTTACACCTTCAGCCTTGGCTCTGGTTCGGTTTCTTGGCGTTCTACACGCTCGTCTTCAGTTCTCAGCTGCAGTTGTGAGGCTGAGATCTACGCCACAGCCATGGCTGCACAGGAGTTACGCTGGCTCACCTACCTGCTGACCGACTTGGGAGAGATGCCTCGTTCTCCTCCAGTGCTGTACGTCGACAACAAGGCCGCCATTGCCTTGTGTCAGGAGCACAGACTGGAGCACAGAACGAAGCACATCGCTCTGCGTTACTTCTCGCGCTGGAGGTACTGCTCGCGCTTCTGAGCTTGCTTTGCTTCTCTTGACTGGTCTTGTGACCCCTTGCTCTCCCCCAATTTGCCTATGGGGGTGTGTCAAAGTATATGCATGTTACATATGTGTAGGCTGTAGTGGGGTAGCCAATATGGGGTACAGCCCCTTTTAGGGTTTCATACTTGTACCCAACTCTTTCCTAGTTCATTCATTCCTGCTGCTAGATTCTGACACCCACTTAGCCTATGGGGGTGTGTCAAAGTACAATCTTACTTGTAGGCTATAGTGGGGCACTCTTTATGGGGTACAACACTTCTAGGGTTAGTACTTGTACCCCAACTCTTGCTAATCCAATCATTCCTGCACAGTTGATTCTGAGACTGGCTAGGGATTTGGCCGTGGGCTTTGCTCTCAAGCAATGGCGTTGGGCTTTGGGATTGGGGTCGGTGTTGGGCTTGGGGTCGGTGTTGGGCTTGGGGTCGGTGTTGGGCTTTGGGGTCGGTGTTGGGCTTGGCGTTGCTTTGATATTGGACCTCTTGCCTAACTTAAGCATTTGGCCTTGGGCTTGGCCTTGGGTTCTAGCTTTGTTGTATGCTTTTGCCTTAGGCTTTGGATTTGGATGTAGCTTGTGCTTGCCCTTCAGATCTGGCTTTGATCGTTTCCCTGGCTGACGACAAATTCTCACGATTTCCTTTTTTGACCAAAATACAAGCTAAATGTTCTATAAAATACACCCTAACATACCACTCATTCCAATGGCTTTGCAGACCCAACCTTGCAACATCTACGTTACCTAGTATGGGCTCGCAGCTGTCTTGGACCCCTTCCTTCTGCCACGTGTTTCATTGATCGTTTTTTTCTCAAGTTTCATTGAATCTCAATTTGACGCTCAATTTTGAAGACTTGCCGTCTTTCTTGGGCCCTTTCCCTACTGCCAGGGTAGTATTGGCGAAAGCTCCACTCTCCGCACCGTTCTCGAACGTGCTGGTGTAGACGAGAGCAGAGTAAGAGGCGGGAGCAGCCAGCATGGCATCCGCCAGCTCCTTATACGTCTGCCCGTTATCCGCCGTCAAAGTGCTGGCGCTTAGCCAAGTACCGGAGGTTTCGTAGCTGTAGCCGAGGGGAGGGGGAGGCGGGGGAGGCGGCTTCTTCCCCTTCTTGCCCTTAGGGTTCAGTTTGCCGCCCAGCTTGGCGCGCTCAGCGTTTGAGAGCGTGTGATTGGCCCACGTGGCGGTGCCGGGGACAACGGAGAGTGCCAAGTCAGCGCCATTCTTGATGACGACACCAAAGGGCTCGCCAGAGTCGGTTAGAGAGACCGCGACGCTGTAACGAATGTCGTAGTCGTTAGTTGTGGCGTTGCTGTGGGGGGAGGGTGGCAAGGAGGGGCAGGGAGGGGCAGGGAGGGGCAAGGGCGCGTGACATATGGGCAGAGGACGAGGATTGGTTAGAGTCACGCCGACAATGTAACCAATGTCGGAGTCGTTAGTTGTGGCGCTCCTAAGAGGAGGGGGGTGGCAAGGAGGGGTGGGGAGAGGTGGGTGTTTGGCCATGGGGTAGTAGGGTAAGGAGGTGACAAGGAGCAATTTGAAGGAAAGAAAAAAAAAGGTGCGCGAAGGGGAGTGACGGGAGAACTGAGAGGAGAAGTGAGTTGAACGAAGATTGGGGGGAGAGAGGGAATGAAGGGGAAGGAAGATTGAGGGGAAGGGAGGGAATGAAGCGGAATGAAGGTTGGGGGGAAGGGAGGGAATGAAGGAAGGGAATGGAGGAGGGGAATGAAGGAAATGAAGGAAGGAAATGAAAAAGAGGCTTACAGGAAGATGGCGAGGGAAATGAGGCCTGTGGCGTTGGCGTCAGCAGTGAGGTCAGCATTGGAGCCGTTAAGATATGCTCCCACCACCCCTGCACGAAATAGCAGAGAGGGGGAAAATGAACGTGAGAGGGGAAGAATGCTTGAAAAGGGAGAAGAATGCTTGGTTACTCCATGAGAAGTATCAACGGGTGGGGGGGCGAGAGGCGGAGAAGGCTGGGAGCGGGAAGCACTTCTTACCGACAAGAGTGCCGACCTGCCCCGCCTTATCGCCTCCATTCTTGCCCCCGCCATTCTTCCCACCATTCTTCCCTCCATTCTTGCCGTCCTTTTTCTCCTTGGGCGGTGGCGGAAGCGGCTCCGACTTAAACTGCCCTCTTGCCGCACCCGACTCATAAGCAGACGTCACGAATTTCGCGTAGTACCCATCGGGCTTCGCTATAATCGCATCCACCAGCTCCTTTAAAGTCTTCCCGTCATACTCAGTCAGTGTACTCGCATTGAGCCACGTCCCGTTTGTGGCATAAGTGTACTTCGGAGGAGGCGGGGCGGGCTGTGCGCCCTTGTTCTTCTTGCCCTTGGGCGGGGGAGGCGGCGGACGAGTGAGATTCGCCCACGTGGCGCTCAATCCTTCCTGGACCAAACCGGCGACGGAGGTTCCCGCCTCTCCCGCCGCGCCTTGCCAGATCGAAGCGGCGAGCGGCTCGCCGGCGTCGGAGGTGGAGACGACGACACTGTAGAAGACGTTGTAGTCGCCGTCCAACCTGACGATTTCCGTCACCGTTTGGGCGGGGGGAAAGCATGGGGAACAAAGAAGATGAGAACTTGCTAGGTGCAGTTTTTTATTGCTATTCGTGTTACTTGCGGCGACGTTGATAAAATCATTCATACCTGCCCACAATCAGTCGAGCCGCCTTCAAAACCCACTCAGGCCTGATCCCTTACGCGAAACTGGGATAAAGCGGCTTACCCGAAAACAGCGAGGCAGATTCGACCGGTGGCGTTGGCGTCGCCCGTCGATTCAAGAATTTCGGATCCGTTCAGCCGCGCGGCCAGAATTGCTGCGCAGGAGAGAAAGGGGGGAAATGAGGTGAGAAGATGGTAAGGGAAGGGGAGCAGACATTATGGGGACGAAGCGGGAAGGAACGCGGGCGGAGGTACATGGGCGGAGGAACATGGGCGGAGGAAACATGGGCGGAGGAAACATGGGCGGAGGAACATGGGCGGAGGAACATGGGCGGAGGAAACATGGGCGGAGGAACGTGGGTAGATGAACATGGGCGGAGGAACGTGGGTAGATGAACATGGGCGGAGGAAAATGGTAAGCGTCAGAGAGTAGCGTTTTGAGTCGACTCAAAACACGGGAGCCTCACCGGTGAGATTCCCGAGCGCCTGAGCGTCCTGGGGCTTGGGCAACGGGCACGGGCCCGCGTCAGGGGGTCCCTTTTTCCCGTCCTTCCCGCCGGTCTCGCCCACTCCGGGTCCCTTTTTCCCGTCCTTCCCGCCGGTATCGCCCACTCCGCCTGGTCCGCCCGCGACTATCGGGCCGCCTTGCTGCCCTCCATTAATTACGTCCTCAGGCGGCGGCGGAAGCAGGTCCGACTTAAACTGCCCCCTCGCCGCACCCGACTCATAAGAGGGCGTCGAGAATTTCGCGTAGTACCCATCAGGCTTCGCTATAATCGCATCCACCAGCTCCTTTAAAGTCTGCCCGTCATACTCAGTCAGTGTACTCGCATTAAGCCACGTCCCGTTTGTGGCATAAGTGTACTTCGGAGGAGGCGGGGCGGGTGGTGTGCCCTTGTTCTTCTTGCCCTTGGGCGGGGTAGGCGGCGGACGAGTAAGATTCGCCCACGTGGCACTCTTTCCTTCGTCGATCAAACGGGCGACGGTGGTTCCCGCTTCTCCCGCCGCGCCTTGCCAGATCGTAGCGGAGAACGGCTCGCGGGCGTCGGAGCTGGAAACGACGACACTGTAGAAGACGTTGTAGTCGCCGTCCAGCCTGACGATTTCCGTCACCGTTAGCACGGGGGGAAAGCACGGGAGAAACAGAAAGGACCAAGGTGCAGTTTTTTGCTATTCCTTCCTTGCAACGACGGGTGAGAAAACGGATTATTGCCCACAATCGATCGATTCGGCTCCAAGGTCAACTCAAGCACGGTCCCATACTCGAAATAAGCGGCTTACTGGAAGACGGCGAGGCAAATTCGACCGGTGCCGTTGGCATCGCCAGACGAGTAAAGAATTTCGGACCCGTTCAGCCGCGCGGCGAGAATTGCTGCGCGGAGAGAAGGGCGGGGGAAGGAGAGAAAAGGGGTGAGAAGATGGTAAGGCGAGGAGATATCATGGGGAGGAATGCGGGTACAGGAACATGGGTGGAGGAACATGGGTGGAGGAACATGGGCGGAGGAACATGGGCGGAGGAACACGGGCGGAGGAACAAGGACGGAGGAACACGGGCGGAGGAACACGGGCGGAGGAACACGGGCGGAGGAACACGGGCGGAGGAACACGGGCGGAGGAATACGGGCGGAGGAATACGGGCGGAGGAACACGGGCGTAGGAACACGGGCGGAGGAACACGGGCGGAGGAACACGGGCGGAGGAACACGGGCGGAGGAACACGGGCGGAGGAACACGGGCGGAGGAACACGGGCGGAGGAACACGGGCGGAGGAACACGGGCGGAGGAACACGGGCGGAGGAACACGGGCGGAGGAACACGGGCGGAGGAACAGGTGGCGGAGGAAAACGTGGCGCATGAAAAGCGTCCGAGAGTACGCGGGAGTCTCACCGGTGAGATTCCCGAGCGTCTGAGCGTCCTCGGGCTTGGGAAGCGGGCACGGGCCCGCGTCAGGAGGTCCCTTTTTCCCGTCCTTCCCGCCGGTCTCGCCGATTCCGCCTGGGCCTCCCGCGTCTAAGGGACCACCTTGCTGCGACTCCTTGCCCTTGTAGACGACGATGTCCCTCGCGGCCTCTGCGCGGCGGAACACGGAAAGGATGGAAATTGATCAGAGTAATTCATGCAGAGGAGAGTCAAAATGAAACCGATGGACGAAAGGGATTGCAAGCAAGCAGGTGCGATTTTTGCTGATGATGATGTGTGAAATTCTTCGGTTGCAATCTGGCCGTAGGTAGACTGTAAGGAGGAAGTGACAATGGCACTCACCGGAGTGAGGGGCGACGGCAAAGAGAAGGAGCGCCAAGGCGAGGGTGCGCTGGAACCCCATTGTATTCAAGTATCGTAGAGAAAGGTGGAAAATGCGTTTCTAGAGGAAACAGAGAAGACGAATTTGAAATGTGATTGCTGGAAGCAGAGTGTGGTTTTTATGCCACAGCAATACAGGGGACTGGTCACACTCACGTCTTGTTGCCTAAGAGGTCTTTTAGTACGGTTCAGTCTACGATATGAGAGGTACAGAACAATGCACGAAATTTTATTCCTTGATTCTACTACTTCGCGGTTTGGGACACCTGAGAGGCTGCGATTCGGGAATTTCTGAACGACGCATCTGGCGGGGTATCTGGCGGGGAACGTGATCATGGACATGCTGCCGAGAGATCTACCCCTGACGATAAACTGTACTGCCGGTATTTTCAGTGGACAGCTCTGCCGCGGAACACGATGGCAAGTTCTTCAGGTGCATTTTCGCTTGTGCCTTGTCGAGAAAGGGTGTGCATGCATTCGTCAACAATATTCTTTGCTTGCTTTGGTGAGCGCAGGTGGCGCAGCAAAGCACGCTACGCCCCTGGAAAGCGATGGATCAGTAAAATATTCCGATACTAACATAGCACAGGCTTAGTCATTCCGTATTATTTGTTTCCCTGATAAATATATTTGGAAAGTTCTTAACATAATCAACAACTTAAGATTTAATTTGTTTCTCTATGCACAAAGATTAATTCTGTTTGAAGCAGGAAGAGGCACTGGCAGCCGACACCATTTGCCTTGAAATTGTTAACGCCCTGGGCTTGGTTTTCTCAAGCTGAGATGATTTCAGGACAAGGGTTCCGAGAGCTGCGTAGGCTGATAAAATTTTATGAGTATGTTTTCTGTAATATATTTACATGTCACACAACTACATCATCCTTATAATAAAGCACAGCTGAAAGATTGTAAGGTACATTCAATAGGGTAAAAATGGTACAGGTTTTCTGTTGAACGCTTCCAATTCACCACCTCGAATGACAGGTGGCAATGACGGTGTTTGCAGTTGTTCCCTGAAAACCCTCCCCCCGAAAAGCCAAAAGGCTTCTGAACAAGGCCCCTACAGTTGTTACCCTCGAGGCGAATGAAATGCCTCCTCCAACGTTGCGCCAGAACATGGAGCTAGTCGTTTCGCCAGCAGATAAATCGTACAGCTTGGACCCATAGGTTTCCCACACTCCCCCAAAGATATCACGACACCCTTAAAACCCGGGTCTCATATTTCCTAGTGTATTACACTTGGTTGGGCTAAAGCGCCTGTGATTGGGTAACGATAGGCGAGATTTGTGACGAGCAGTTTGGAAAACACAGACGACACCGCAGTTCGTCTACGCAAAAACCAAACGAGCCCCTCAGGCATGGAAAGCTCCCACACCTAAAAAACAGATCCGGCAGTTCCCTGCGACCAACTGAAACGACAAGACGCAATTCGCCCACGTTCACCAGGAAAAGCAGAGCAAAACTCTCACCTGTCAGTCTTACAACCTCCGCTTAGGATGGTTCCTACGTATGTACCTCCACATCAAGATGCTGGCCTTAGTCGCTAAAACAGTGATATTAGAGACCATTTCGGACCAGATAACAGGGGACTTGCGAAAAAATTCTGGTTGCGGATAACGCACTAATTGGCGACTAAGGAATCGTCCAATGTCGGGAACGGTCGCAACGCCATCGCTTGTTACGAGGTAGCCAGTCCGTAACATTCCGAAATGCGTTCTTACTCTTCTATTTACAGCTGTGGAACCCGGAGAGGTGATGTCGCATTTCAGAATGCGCTCGGGTCGTCCATCTACGACAAGCGCGATTGCGTGAAAGGTCTGTGTGCGAGTGGCATGTGTGTGGGGTGTGTGTGAAAGCTTGTGTGCGTGCGAACGTGCGTACGTGCGTGCGCGAGCGTGCGCGTGCGTGCGTGCGTGCGCTTGCGCGTGCGCGTGCGGCGTGCGTGTGTGCGCGTGTGCGTGCACGTTTGCGTGCGCGTACGCGTGCGTGCGTGCATGCGTGCGTGCGCGCGCGTGCGTGCGTGCGTGCGTGCTTGCGTGCACGTGCGTGAGAGCAAGCGTGCATGCGTGCGTGCGTGCGCGTGCGTGCGTGCGTGCGGGTGTGCACCTGTTTGTATTCTTATCATTCAGTGCATGTGCATAAAAATGCACAAGTCATTTTGCCACACGTCCCTCAGCCTTCACATCCCGGTGCTCACACCTCCCTTTCCCCCAGCTGCCATCTGCGCCTCGAGACACAACACACATCCTTCCCTCTCTCCCTTCCCTCTCTCCCTTTCCTCTCTCCCATTCACCCTCTCCCCTTCCCTCTCTCCCCTTCCCTCTCTCCCCTTCCTCTCTCCCCTTCACCCTCTCCCCTTCACCCTCTCCCTTTCCCTCTCTCCCCTTCCTCTCCCTGTTAACTCACCCTCACCCCCTCCCCTACCAACTTTCCTAATGTCTGCAGCAAGGCTTGCTTGCCAGCCAGCCCTCGCCACGCGCTCACCCTGCTAGCTTTTCTGCCCGAACTGAGGTGTATGTAAGCAGGGGAAGGTGAGGAGGGTGTGGGTGTGGGCGATGGTGAGAGAGGGGAGGGGGAGTGGGAGTAGGAGGTGGGGAGGTTGAGTGCTGTGTTTAGGGCCATGAGTGTGTAGAGCCCTTTCCTTCTCCATCTGCCCTCCTTTTTTTTCATTTCCCCTACTATGCCTTCCCATCTCCTGTCCCTTCCCTTCTCATCCCCTCCCATTCTTCTCATTTGCCCTCCCTTCCTTCCCATCTTGCGTGCCAGCCTCCCTTCCTTGCATCACCCCTACCCTCTTTTGCTCTCCCCGTTCCCCCTTTTTACCACCTTTCTCTTCCTTCACATCTCAACTGCCCTTTTTCTCATCCCTGGAGCCTTCCTTCCTCCCGTCACCTCTCCCTTTGTTCCAGTTACAAGCAGGACTAAGCTAGTCCCAGGCGAGCCTGGCGGAACGGAAGGGACAGGCAAGCAGCAGATGCACGGCCAGATGCACGAAGGCGAGATTGGCGCTAGAGGAGAGATGTACCCCGTATCTTCAAGATATTGCACAAGTGTATACATTCAATAAGTTCTTTAGGTCAGTGCTGTGCTCAATTGCTACAAACTAAATGGATGCATTGAAACCATCTGAGCATCAAGTGTAATATGCTATGAAAGACAAGAGACTAGGCGGGTTTGGCAAGCCTACTTTGCCAACAACTGAGTTTTGAATCTACGCATTAGTCACAAAACTAAGGATGAACTGGTTCTTTGTGGCGCCATGCTGGAACAAGCACATCAACAGGGGGGAGTAAGGGGGGAAGCAGAGGGGAGACAAGTGGGAAAACAGAGCTGAGGCATGGGAGGAAAGCGAGGGGAGGCATGGCATGGGGAAAGAAAGGAGGCAGGGAGGAATTGGGGAAGTGATTGCTTGGCGGAATAGTGTGTGAAAGCAGGGGAAAAAGGTGAAAGGGTTGGCGAAGTGTTGGCTTCATGGGAGGAGCTGGTAGCACGGGATGAGAGGTGACAGCAGAGGGGGAAGGGAGGTGGTAGCACGGGATGAGAGGTGACAGCAGAGGGGGAAGGGAGGTGGTAGCACGGGATGAGAGGTGACAGCAGAGGGGGAAGGGAGGTGGTAGCACGGGATGAGAGGTGACAGCAGAGGGGGAAGGGAGGTGGTATCACGGGATGAGAGGTGACAGCAGAGGGGGAAGGGAGGTGGTAGCACGGGATGAGAGGTGACAGCAGAGGGGGAAGGGAGGTGGTATCACGGGATGAGAGGTGACAGCAGAGGGGGAAGGGAGGTGGTAGCACGGGATGAGAGGTGACAGCAGAGGGGGAAGGGAGGTGGTAGCACGGGATGAGAGGTGACAGCAGAGGGGGAAGGGAGGTGGTAGCACGGGATGAGAGGTGACAGCAGAGGGGGAAGGGAGGTGGTAGCAGAAAGAGAAAAGAAAGTGATAGCAGAGGGGGAGGGAAAGGGGGATGAGGGAAGGAAAAGGGGGATGAGGGAAGGGAAGGGGGATGGGGGAAGGGAAGGGGGATGGGGGAAGGGAAAGGAGGATGCAGGGAAGGGATGGGGGATGGGTAAAGGGAATGGGGGATGGGGGAAGGGAAAGGAGGGTGTGGGGAAGGTAAAGGGGATGTGGTAAGAGAAGGGGGATGGGGGAAGGGAAGGGGGATGGGGGAAGGGAAGGGGGATAGGGAAAGAGAAGGGGATGGGGAAAGGGTAGGCGGATGGGGAAAGGGAAAGGGGATGCGGGAAGGGAAGGGGGATGGGGAAAGAGAAGGGGGATGGGGAAAGAGAAGGGGGATGGGGAAAGAGAAGGGGGATGGGGAAAGAGAAGGGGGATGGGGAAAGAGAAGGGGGATGGGGAAAGAGAAGGGGGATGGGGGAGGGGAAGGCGGATGGGGTTAGGGAAAGGGGATGTGGGAAGGGAAAGGGGTATGGGGATCGGCGCGTCTCCTACGTTTCCTCCCGCCAGTCCCGTCCCGCTCCGTCGCGTTCCCTCCCGCTCCGTCCCGTCATACATCCCGTCCCATCCCGTCCCATCCCGTCCCGTCATGTCCCGTCCCATCCCGTTCCGTCATGTCCCGTCCCGTCCCGTCCCGTCCCCTCTCGTCTCGTTTCCTTCCCGTCCCGTCCCGTCCCGTCCCGTCCCGTCCCGTCCCGTCCCGTCCTTTCCAGTCGCGTCCCCTCACGTCCCATCAGGTCCCCCCCGTTCCCGTCCCGTCCCGTCGTGTCCAGTAGCGTCCCCTCCTGTCCTCTCCTCTCCTCTCCACTTCTCTCCTCTCCACTCCTCGTTGCATCCCACAGTATCCCTTCCTACCCTTTCCGGCTCCCCTTCACGCACCGTCCCACCCCTCCCCTTCTCGTCGCATCCCGGAGGTCCTTCTCACCCCTTACCTCCCTTCCAGTCCCTTCCCTCCCAACCGTCCCGCCACACCCCTTCGCGACTCTCCCCTTACCCTCGCATCACGCCCATCCCTTTCTCCTCGCTTCCAGCCATGTCGCGTCGCTTCCTGTAATGTCGCGTCGCTGCTTATCGAGTCCTAACCCTCGCCTTTCAGCCGCGTCGCTGCTTATCCAGTCCTAACCCTCGCCTTTCCGTCGCGTCGCTTCCTATCTCGTCCTAACCCTCGCCTTTCCGTCGCGTCGCTTCCTAACTCGTCCTAACTGCTGCCTTTCCGTCGCGTCGCTTCCAATCTCGTCCTAACTGCTGCCTTTCCGTCGCGTCGCTTCCTATCTCGTCCTAACTGCTGCCTTTCCGTCGTGTCCCTTCCGTCCAAATTCGACAGGGGGGAGCGTTACTGCAATACACCTTGGTCCAAATAGAGTGGTGCATCTTATTGCAATAATGAGGACCAGCTCTGGCGATGGACGGACTATACGTGCGTAAAAGCAAATGCAGGCGCGGAGTGACCAAAGATAAAAATAAACAACGACAACGAGAGGTACAAGGTATTGTCACGTTTGACGCTGGAATAAACCTAGGGAAAATAAGATGCTGAAATGAGACTTCACCTACAACCTCTGGGTTTGCAGTCTCATATTTTTCCAGCTCTGTAATACGCTCGGTTGTGGGCTGTGCGTCCCATTCTCAGTCCGTCGCACATGCAGTTGCCTGTTTCTCGCAAACCCGGCTTGGTAGTCAGGCACCTGCCTCTACCAAACTGTTTGGTTTGCAGCCAAACACACCTGCGCCAAACCAAACGCGAGTGTTTTGCGAGTGATTGTTTGGTTACCCGGTTTCAAGCGTATTACCTTTGGTTGGAAACAAGAAATATGAGACGCGGGTTTTAAAACTTCCCCAAGAAATGCCAAAACGTTGCGAGCATTCCAACCAGAACATGGAACATGTCGTTTCTAAAGCCAGCAAAACCTACACCTTCCGCCCATATGGTTCCCACACTCTACCCGCCTTCTTCCTACACTTCCCTGTGGCTCACTGCCCCTTCGCGGCATGCCCTGCAACTCTGTTCCGGCTCCGAGTCGAACCATCCCACCGACCAGCATGGGGACCAGAACACTTCGGGTCGGGTGGTGACTCGGTGTCACTCTGACCGCCCAGGACGGACTGTTGGGTAAAGAACAGCACCACCCCTCTGGAGAGTGGCTATGATTGTCGTGGAGGGGAAATCGAGGCCAGAAAGGCACATCTTTCTGTACTGCTGCTGCTCCTCGCAAATGTACTGTGAAGGATTTATTTTTCTATCTAACCTTTCTAGAGCTCCAGTAACATTCCCCAGCTCTCCGGGTCGCATTTCTCATCCCGTACTATTGGGCCAATACCACAACTAAGCTAAGAGCAGCTCCTGGTTTGCTTCAGAAGTAGCTCTTTTGAGCTAGAGGATCTCATTTCTACTATCTATGCTAACACATTCTATGCATTCGCTGCGAATATTACTTCTCGGAAGGATGGACGCGTCGCGCTGGCGACAACCTTTTCACCGCGTCAAAAAACATCCACTTATGATCTTAATATTGACCCTCGCCGCTGCTTGCTGCTTCGCACCTGCGTCCTCTCGACCACATGACATGGTATCGACCTCTAACGGACCATCTAAAGAAGAACCAACCACTACTATCAACAATTCCGGCGCCGGAATCCTGTCGGAGCTGGTCGCGCGGAAAGCGCGGGCCGTGGAAGCGAGGCGGCACGGCCTCGTGCTTCTCCGCGAATTCCGGTCGCTCAACGACAGCATCGCCGAAGCCAACGGGAAGATCCAGGAGGCGCTGCGCGCGCGGGAAAAGCTCAAGCTGACATCAGCGCGACTGAAGGAGCAGCAGAAAGTAATCGACGAGCTTTCCGCGATAATCGACAGAGCCGCTCAGCGGATGTACAAGCGCGACTCGGAGGACGTCCGGCTGTCGCTGGTAACAGCGGGCGAGGCGAAACTCGTCGCCGAGCGACTGTTTGCGAGACTCGCACGGAAGGTTCTGCGACTGCGCGACAAAGTGGCGTCGCACAGCATCGCAGTGACGTGTCGCGACGCGATAATGAAAGCCTGGGAACAGCGGCTTCCGCAGGCGACGGAAGCGGAGAAGACCACCAATGCGACGCTGAGAGATTACCTTGCAATGTTCAAACGCGCGATGAAATCCTCTCTTGAAGCTGAGGGCGCCATCCTCGGAATCGTCCAAATGTCGTCCTCAGCTCGCCGAGATGAAACCCGTGGCGGTCCACCTGTCGCATTAGGTTCAGTCGCTGATGACGACGATGGCGATCATCAAAGACAGGCCAATGGCGCGTCTGGCTCTTCCAAACGTACGGTGCGACCTTGGAAGACGACCCTTATCTTGCTGAAACAGAAGCAAATCATGGCGAAGGAAGGGATGCTGAACACGGTTCTGAAGATAAGAATTCGCAGGAGAAGGTGAAGTCAAGCGAAGCCGTGGAGGAGATTGCAGCAGCCGAGGCAGAGGAGGCGGTGGTTCGGGGATTGCTTGACAGCCTCCGAGCCGAAGTCCAGGCTTGGAAATCCTCCATAGCTGAGGGTCGGGCGTCAGAGGAATTCCAGAAGCTGAAGAGGATGCGGGAAGAGCTGGATAACGCAGAAGGCGATGCGGAGTTTGCGGTTTTCCAGGTGAAGGAAGGCGAGAAAGACGTTGAGCAGGCAAAAGCTGAGCTGGCGGGCGCACGGGAAATGGCCGATGGACAAACGAGGATTCTGCATGAAGCCGAGGAAGATTTGCGCCGAGCCATGGGTGCCGAGTCGGCAGGAACACGGACCTTGGGGGCACGGCTGCAGCGAGAGGAGGCTGAACTGGTGAAAGCTCAGGCGGAGAGAGTGGCAGGAGCAATGAGCCGCAAGGTGCAACGAGCTGAGGCGTTGGTTCTGGAAAGAAGGCAAGGGCTGCAAGGTGCGATGGTGGAGAGGGAAAGGCTAACAAGGAAAGTTGCGCGGTTGAAAGCTAGTGTGGAGGAGTTAGAGGGGAGGTACGGTGAGAGTGAGTCAGCGGCTAAGGAGGCTGATAGGCTCATGAAGCTGCTCAAGCCGGTTGTGCTTGCCAAGCATGAAGAAGCACGTGCTGCCAAGCAGGCGTGGGGCAGATTCCTGACCCTCGGGAATGCCTAGGCGTTTATGGCCACTTGCACAGTTGTGTCTTTGTATCTCGTATTATTTTGTTCAAAATGTACCTCAACATCCAGTTCTCACCAAGGAAATTGCATCCTCCATAACGAGACTGGATTTACAGAGAACTAGTGTGGAGGTACTGAAGAGGTATGGTGAGAGTGAGTCAGTGGCTTAGGAGGCCGATAGGCTCATGAAGCTGCTAAAGCCGGCTGTGGGGCAGATTCCTGACACTCCAGTTTGTATTTATCTCTCAGTATTGTTCTGCTCAGAACTTACTATGGTAGTAAATCTTCTCACGACTGGGCTACATAAATTGTAATACCAGACAGCAAAACAGATTTCAGGCCTGACTACAAGCACTAACTAAATTTCAAATCTACTGTAATCCCAGCATGCAGGGATAGACAACACAAGCTCCTGAGTATGTCAACTACCGTATCTATTTCAAGCTTCAGAACAGCATCCTGTCAACAGTGAAAGCAGGACAGGCATATTCTAAACCCTTACTGTACTTTCAGGTATATAACATTAAACCACCAAATTCCACCCAGTAACCCAATCAAACCTTGGACCCACATACACCTCTGTTCCGCTCACCGAGTTTGGTCCAACTTCCACTCCCACACACAGGCACACATACGGAGGGTGTTTTTACTTACCCCTCCTTGGGCTCATATATCGACTCCATGGGTTTTCTGGTCTGGGGCATCGAAAGCACCTCTCCAGATACGATGGGAGGCATGGAGCGATCAATGGGGGTGAAGGTGACAGCTGGCTTTGCAGGAGCAGCAGGAGCGTCGCCACTTTTGGCGTCCTTGCCTTTTTTTTCGTCTGCTGAGATGCTGATAGCACAGCCCATGGTAAAAGGCGGCGGTAGGCCGGGGGAGAGGAGGGGGAGATGGCGGGCAGCTGAACGGGCAGATGAAAACTTGCGTAGAGTGGGGGTAATGGCGCAGACGGAGACGCTGGATAAGGCGGATGGAGCGGTAATCCGTGGTCGGGTGTGGTTTAGAGGAGAGCAGAGCTCGTTAGCAGTAGCTGGTGGTTGCTGGTAGTGGCCATCTGAGGGAGGGAGGAGGGATGGGGTTTGGAAAAATGGAAAATAGCAAATAGAGGGAGGGAGAGGAGAGGAAAGAGAAGGGAAAGAATGGAAATGAGGAGAGCAGAGCTCTGTTAGCAGTAGCTGGTGGTTGCTGGTAGAGGCCATCTCAGGGAGGGAGGAGGGATGGGGTTCAGAGAAGTGAAGAATGGCAAATAGAGGGAGGGAGGGGAGTGGAAAGAGAAGGGCAAAGATGCGACGAGAGAGAAAGGGAGGGACGCAATACAGGTGGTGGGTAAATGGGCAGTGGGGAAATGAGCGGTGGGGAAATGGGGAGTGGGGAAATGGGCAGTGGGGAATGAGCGGTGGGGACGGGGGGACGGAGAACGGGCAGTGGGGGAGCAAGAAATGGGGAACGGAGAGCGGAAGAACGGAAGGAGGAGGAGGAGGAGGGGGGTGGGGGAGAGGAACGACGGAGGGGGCCAGGAGGGAGAAAATATGGATTAAGCACACAAGAAAAGGCGAACACTAAAGAAAACGACTGAACGAAATGAGTAATAGGAGGTGGGAGGACACAAATTCAACTGCCGTCCGCTTTAGATCAGTAACCAAGAGGAGGGGAAACACAGACAAATGGGGAGTGTGGTGGAAGAAAGTGGACGTGCTCCGCGAATAATAGAGAGATACAAGGGGGCTCAATTCCCCTAGGGGTGTCAAGGCCGTGGTTGCGGGGTAATTACCCTTGGGGGGGGGGGTCAATACCTGGGGTGGGAGGATAATACCCTGGGGAAGAACTCATTTGGGAGGATAATACCTTGGGGGACTAAATACCCGGGGTGGAAGATTAACACCCTAGGGGAGGGGACTACCCGGGAAGGGAAGGGGGTCAGTGCCCTGGGAAGTCGGGGAGAAGGGGAAGAGGGGGGGGATGGAAGAAAGAGGGAGAATGGAGGAGGGGCGACGAGAGAGGAGGGGAGAGGAAGGACGGAAGGAAAAGGAGGGATATAGCGGAGGATGGGGGAGGAAGTCAGAGCAGGGATGGAGCGGACTAAATGGGAGGACGGGGGGAGGGAAGGATGGGGAGGAAGGAAGGAGGGACGAGGACTAGAGGAGGGGAGAGAGGAGGGGAAAGGATGGGAGGACGGGATAGGAGGGAAGAGGGAGAGAGGATGCGACACGCGCAAGCAGCAATGGATGGGAAAGAAAGAACGAACCGAGGTGGATGAGTAGAGGTCAGAGGAGAAAAAGAGACTGGTGGGACAGGACGGCGGCAGAAGAGGAATGTAGGGAGACCGAGGAGGAGGGAAGGACGGGGGACGGCGGGAGAAGAGGAATGGGAGGGAGACTGAGAAGGGAACCATGAAGGGGCTGGAGTACCAAGGGGGTAGACATGGTGCACACGCCACACACGCCACACACGCCACACACGCCACACACGCCACACAAGCCACACACGCCGATTGGCGTTTTGAGTCCTCTTCATGCATAGAAGCAAGACGAGTTTTCCCCATGCAGACAAGCCAAACGAAACCTTCAACGGATAAAACCACGAGTAAGCTGCGAGGAGTGTGTCAGGAAGGGGGTTTGAGCGAAGAAGAGGCATCAAGGGGACTTAAGGTCCAGATGGGACCGCAAATGTAGCTGGTTGTTCTTGCGCGTCCTTGTCCGAAGCGGCAGTTGCATTACCGGGCGACAGCAGACGTCTACCGTGCGACAGCAGGATTGGTTGGACCACGAGACAGCAGAATCGCACTCGCGATTGCAATGCAGCTTGGCGTCTCGCTAAGCCAACCGCGTAGTACTATCACTATCCGTTATAGAGAGCGCGCAATACCAATAAGTCTACCTCGCAATACATAAACACTTTTGTTTTGCAACCAGACGCGTCGTTAATGCGAAGCTCCCAATACAGTAAAAGCTTATGCAGTCACGCACCTGGTTAGGGCAGCCAGTAGTGACAACTATAGGATGCTCGTACAAAGAAGAGTGAGAGCTATAGAGACATCGGGAAAGACGAGAAAGAAAGCGTGTATTTGATTTTGTTCCTTATCATCGTACCCTAATTCTTCGTAACCATAGTTCTTATCTCGAAAGAAAAAAAAACGGAATCAGACGCGCGCGAGTAGGTACCTGTGAAGTGTGGAGGGTCAATGTCTCACACCAGCGATGTCCATGCCGCTGGGCGAAGAACACGAAGAAACGAACTGCGTAGTCGAACTCAAGATATAGCGACGGCGATGGCGACACACTTCAGAAATCGATGTCAATTAAACAAAGGTTGTTCTACCAAAAGCTGATGCTCGAGAATGCTACTAAAGAACTGAAGACCCTCTAGCATTAGTGTCGAACGGCAAGTATGGATAGGTAAAGACCGCACTATTGGAGAAATGTATGCGAAACGGAAAGCGCGAGGAGAGCTTGATAAACCAGAAGACGCGTAAACCAGAACTAAGAAAGAACGAGTCAACCATTTGAATTAGGGTTCCGCCTTTCTTATGCGAAGTCAGTTAGGTGGACAAACGCCTCCGTAACAGGAGGTACCGTTCTGGAAACATTATTTACCGTACTCACTACTCAGCGTGTGTTGCTTTCAAGAAGTGGCGGTGATGGCTAGGGAGGGAGGTGGTCAGGTGAGATGCGGCAATACCGAGGGAATGGAAACAGTGATGATGTGTTCGAGAATAAAGCTGACGAGGACACGGGAATTCTTGGGACGGGTCATCTCGGTAATTCTTCGGGGCAGTTCAAGGCAATACCAATCGCGTGTTGTGCTGAGTTTTTTGAAGCTTTGCCAAGCAAGGCTGAGATAAGTGCGAGTCAAGAATTTCGAGATTCAGACGGGCAGATGGCAGGAGTCTCGGAAAATCAGGAGGAAGTCGTTGTCACGTGGCGCGTCAGCCACTGCAGGGAAAATGTGCATCATGGGTGAAGCTGATGACGAGGGAGGAACGAGTCAGCACAGCAGCTGTCACTTCCCGCGTTTCCGTATTAACAGATCCAATACCATAACGAGTGTAATGTGGTCCACATTTAGCAAAAAAATGTAATCTGAGTGAAAAGGTAGTCACATGGAAATGTCTAACCACTAATCCGCACGTGAAAATGAAGCCACATGAAAAACGGCTTGGCATGTAAACTTCCTCAATGCGTGAAAAGCTGCTCGCTACGGCGGGGCCTGTCAGGAATGGAACCTACAAGAAGCAAAAAACACGCCACATTGGAGAAAATGGAATTCGTTCAAAATGGTAAGCGATTGGATTTTTGTTCTGTGAACAATCCGAACCAACAATTTAGAACAAGCTACAAAGTAAGAATTCACTGAAAAGGCGAGGGTCAAGCCGTACCTGGTTTGAATTTGGCAGCTTCGTGCCGGGCGAGTTCAGGAGGTACGACACAACCGCTCTGGGTAAGCATCTGTGATTGGAGAAGGGACAAGGGGGTGGAGGAGAGGGAGGGGGGGGGGATTAAAAATGAGAGGAGGCACGTTTGAGGTCGTAGAAAAGTGCACAAGGGAAGAGGAGGGAAGGAAGGGAGAGAAAAGAGGAGCGTGTGAGAAAAGGGGGAGAGGTCTGATTGAGGTCGTAGAAGAGTGTGAAAGAGAGGAGGGGAGGAGCGGGAGAGAAAAGGGGAGCGTTAAAGAGGGAGCGGAGCTGCTGGTGGTCCGATTCATGCAGCGTGAGAAGGAGGGGGGGGGGAGCGGGGAGAGAGAGGAGTGGGGAGAGCGGGGTGCGGTGAGTGGAGCGGAGAGCGGGGAACGGGGAGCGGGGAGAGAGGAGAGAGGGGAGAGCAGGGAGCGGGGAGAAGGGGGAGCGGGGTGAGGGGAGAGGGGGGAGCGGGGGTAGTGGGGAGCTGAGCTGGCCTGCTTGAGGTCGTAGAAGAGCTCAGAGTCATGCAGGCGTGCTTTGAGTCGACTCAACACTCACCAAGAAGTGTGTGAACGCGAGGAGGAGGGAGAGGAGGGTGAGGGGGGAGCGCACTGTCAAAAAGATATGCATATGTTATATTTGTGGGTAGGCTGTAGTGGGGTAGACACTGTGGGGTATAACCCCTTAGGGTTTTCTCCTTGTACCAATTCTCTCGATAGTCAACTTCACCTATGCCTAGATTCTAAGACGCACCTGCTTGAGGTGTCATGCTCGGAGTCATGCAGCGTGAGGAATGTGGTGGCCACTCCTGTCTTTTGAGACAACTCAAACATCACCTTTGAGTCGACTCAAGGGCGAGGAGCGCACCTGCTTGAGGTCGTAGAAGAGCTCCGAGTCATGCAGCGTGAGGAAGGTGGTCGCCACTCCTGTCTTTTGAGACAGCTCTAAAGTCATCTTTGAGTCGTCTAGTCGTCTCAGGAGAGAACAGCGCACCTGCTTGAGGTCGTAGAAGAGCTCCGAGTCATGCAGCGTGAGGAAGGTGGTCGCCACGCCCGTCTTGCCCGCCCGCCCCGTACGCCCTGATGTGAGGAGGGTGTTTCAGTGAATCAAACAAGATGGAAGGGCGGGTGATGTGCGACGAGAGATGTGTTTGAGGAAAAAAAGAAGAGGAAGAGAGGGGCCGAGACAGGCAAAGGGGAACGTACCGATACGGTGAGTGTACATCTCAATGTTGCCTTTTGAGGCACCTCAAGGGCCAAGAAAGGCAAAGGGGAACGTACCGATGCGGTGAGTGTACATCTCAATGTTGCCTGGCATGTCGAAGTTAATGACATGTGCCACGTCCTGATTGGATGGGAGGCAGAAGCGCGGATTGAGGGATGATGAATCAGCCGCAAGGCCCATGAGAAAAACTTCCTTCCTCATCACTCACTCACTAGCTCCCTCACTCACTCAATCGCTTATTCATTCACTCCCTCATACACCCACTAATTCACACTCCCTCCCTCACTCCCAGACTCACTCATTCACTCACTAACTGCTCCATTCAGTCTTGGAGCAAATCTATTGCAACCAAAGCTCTGCCCAATATTAATACAATCAAATTATCCACCAGAACCAATGTTCTGTGAAATAAACTACAGTTGGCGCTCACCGGGATGTCGATACCACGCCCCGCCACGTCTGTGGCCACCAGCACGTTGAACTTCCATCGTCCCCCCACAACATCACAACATCTCCCAAATTACACACAATCACGGTTGATGCTCACCGGGATGTCGATACCACGGCCCGCCACGTCTGTTGCCACCAGCACGTTGAACCTCTTGGTGCGGAAGCCCTCCAGGCTGACCTCTCTCTGCTCCTACTTGCTTGGCAATCAAGGTCAATGCTCACCGGGATATCGATACCACGGCCCGCCACATCTGTTGCCACCAGCACGTTGAACTTCTTGGTTCTGAAGCCCTCCAGGCTGACCTCTCGCTGCTCCTGTGTCTTGCCTCCATGCAGCGAGGTCACATTGAACCCCATCCTGTCAATCTGCAGGCATGTTAAGACCAGCCGAAGCAAGGGAGCAAGCACAGGAGCAAGCACACACAGTTGAGTCAGCAGATGCCCTCCAGTCCAGGCTGACCTCCCTCTCGCTGCTCCTGTGTCTTGCCTCCGTGCAGCGAGGTCACATTGAACCCCATCCTGTCAATCTGCAGGGGTGAAAGGAGATCAAGCAAGGGAGCAAGAACCCACATATATTGAAATCACTTTTGAGAATTCTCAAAAGTGATTTCAATGTCGATCTGCAGGGGTGAAAGAAGATCAAGCAAGGGAGCAAGAACCCACATAGATAAGCACGCTTGCGGTCCTCCCCAACATTGAGTGCACACCCTTCTCAACCACCCTCAACCACCCACCTGGGCAACCGCACCACACAACCCCTTCACCTGCTTGGCAACACCATCAGCCGTCTTCTTGGTGTTGACAAACAGAATCACCGTGCGGACCTCCCCAAGGCAAATTAACCTCTACCCCCACCCCCCCTTCAACCCCCAACACCCGCCAAACCCCATCCCAACAAACCCACCCCACCTGCTTGGCAACACCATCAGCCGTCTTCTTGGTGTTGACAAACAGAATCACCGTGCGGACCTGCCCAAGGCAAATTAACCTCTACCCCCACCCCCCCTTCAACCCCCAACACCCGCCAAACCCCATCCCAACAAACCCACCCCACCTGCTTGGCAACACCATCAGCCGTCTTCTTGGTGTTGACAAACAGAATCACCGTGCGGACCTGCCCAAGGCAAATTAACCTCTACCCCCACCCCCCCTTCAACCCCCAACACCCGCCAAACCCCATCCCAACAAACCCACCCCACCTGCTTGGCAACACCATCAGCCGTCTTCTTGGTGTTGACAAACAGAATCACCGTGCGGACCTGCCCAAGGCCCTCCAGAATGCACCCCACTTCCACACACGCACACACCCCCAACCACACAACCCCAAACGACACAACCCCCCTTCACCTGTTTTGCAACACCATCGACTGTCTTCTTGGTGTTGACAAACAGAATCACCGTGCGGTCCTCCCCAACACCAACCCCACCCTCCCCCAACCCCTTCCTGAACCCCCAAACCCTGCCCAACCGCACCTCACCAGCCCCAACCCCACCTGCTTGGCAACACCATCGACTGTCTTCTTGGTGTTGACAAACACAATGGCCGTGCGGTCCTCCCCAACCTCTTCCAAAAGGCGCTGCAGGCGGGAGATCTTCTCCGAGTCCTTCACCATGAACACGTTCTGCGTGATGAGCTCTGTCGCCTTGCCTGCCGTGCCGATGGTCACCTGCACGCATGGTGTGGAAAGGATGTGAAGAAAGGGAGGGGGATGCACAAGGAAGGAAGGGGATTGCAGGCGGGAGATCTTCTCCGAGTCCTTCACCATGAACACGTTCTGGGTGATGAGCTCTGTGGCCTTGCCTGCCGTGCCAATGGTCACCTGCAACGGAGATGGAAACAGGAGGGGGCACGATGGGATGAGATCTTCTCCGAGTCCTTCACCATGAACACGTTCTGTGTGATTAGTTCGGTGGCCTTGCCCGCGGTGCCGATGGTCACCTGTACGGGAAAAAGAGGAAGACGAACAGAGGAACAGGCTTGATTGCAGGCGGGAGATCTTCTCAGAGTCCCTAACCACGAACACGTTCTGTGTGATGAGCTCTGTGGCCTTGCCCGCTGTGCCGATAGTCACCTGCACGAGGGAAAGAGACACAGAGGCATGGAACCTCCTTTGAGATCTTCTCCGAGTCCTTCACCATGAACACGTTCTGTGTGATGAGCTCTGTCGCCTTGCCTGCCGTGCCGATGGTCACCTGCGTGGGAAAAAGAGGGAGATGAAAACAACAGGGTTGCGGAGGAATTGACTTTTGAGTCGACTCTTGAGTTTTGAGTCGACTCTTGAGTTTTGAGTCGACTCTTGAGTTTTGAGTCGACTCAAAAGTCAACAGGGTTGCGGAGGAATTTGCGCGCCAGCCTCTCGACGCTGGGAGGCATGGTGGCGGAGAACATGTAGGTCACCCGGTAGATGCGGGAGGCGAGCCGAGGAGAGGAGAGGAAGGGAGAAACAGCATGGAGCAGAGCGAGGCACGTACCACGACGGGGTTGCGGAGGTATTTCCTGGCCAGCCTCTCGACACTTGCAGGCATGGTGGCAGAGAACATGTAGGTCACCCGGTAGATGCGGGAAGCGTCCAGCTCTGCATCCTCGCTCTCTGGCTTGAGGAATGTTGTGTTCATGGCTTCCAGCACTCCCGTCACCTGTTCAGCAGCGAGCACAACAGGGGGTTGGGAGGGCGGAATGGGGAGTGGGTGATGAGATGGGAGGCATCCTCGTTCTCGGGCTTGAGGAATGTTGTGTTCATGGCTTCCAGCACTCCCGTCACCTGTGCACAACAGGGGGGTTGGGGGGCGGAAAGGGGAGAGAGCGATCAGATGCGGGAAGCGTACAGCTCTGCATGCTCGCTCTCGGGCTTGAGGAATGTTGTGTTCATGGCTTCCAGCATCCCTGTCACCTGTGGACCAAGAGGAGGTGGTGGGGGAGGAGGGGGAAAACAGAGGGGAAAGGGGCGTGAGAGGGAACAAAAGGGACGGGGATGCGGGAATGATGGAGGAAGGGGGCCGGAGAGGAATGGAAGATGGGAATACGGAGGAGAGAAACGGGGAGGAGAGAGGCCCATGTGAGGGAAACGTGTTCTGATGGGTAAGATGAGGGGCTCATGCAGCATACCTGAGGCTCGAAGCCCATGTCAATCATGCGGTCAGCCTCGTCCAGCACCACGTAGTTGCATACACTGGTTCAGCACCTTAAAGCCCTCTGAGGCAAGGTTACACTCCTACACACACCTAACGGTTAAAGCCCGTGTCTCTCATGCAGCATACCTGAGGCTCAAAGCCCATGTCAATCATGCGATCAGCCTCGTCCAGCACCACGTAGTTGCTTGCACTGGTTCAGCACCCTCCAACAGTACCCATGTAAAGGGGTGGGTAGGCTCAAATGATGGGTAGGCTGATGTGAGTCCAAAGCCCTAACGTACTTGAGGTTCGAAGCCCATGTCGATCATGCGATCAGCCTCATCCAGCACCACGTAGTTGCACTGGTTCAGCACGGCATAGCGCCGCTCCAGACAGTCCAACAGCCTTCCAGGCGTGGCAATGACGATTTCACAGCCCTGAGCGATGGGGGGAGCGGGGTTTGGGGGGGGGAAGGGGGGATGTGAGCGTGTTGCACTGGTTCAGCACGGCGTATCGGCTCTCCAAGCAATCCAGCAGTCACCCTGGCGTTGCAATCACGATCTCACAGCCCTGAGAGGCAGGGTTGGGGGGACGGGGAAGGAGGAAAGGGAAGGCTCTATGTGCGTTTTGCACTGGTTCAGCACGGCATAGCGCCGCTCCAAGCAGTCCAGCAGCCTTCCAGGCGTGGCAATGACGATTTCACAGCCCTGAGTAAGGGGGTTGGGAAGACAGGGAAGGAGGAAAGGGCAGCGCATGTGTGTGAGCCTGTTGCACTGGTTCAGCACGGCGTAGCGCCGCTCCAAGCAGTCCAGCAGCCGCCCTGGCGTGGCAATCACAATCTCACAGCCCTGAGAGACAGCAGGAGTAGGGTGGTTGGGGGGAAATAGGGAAGGGGGAAAGGGCAGGGCATGCGTTGAGCGTGTTGCACTGGTTCAGCACGGCATAGCGCCGCTCCAAGCAATCCAACAGCCTTCCAGGAGTGGCAATGACGATCTCACAGCCCTGAGAGGCAGGGTTGGGGGGACGGGGAAGGAGGAAAGGGCAGCGCGTGTGTGTGTGAGTGCTGCACTGGTTCAGCACGGCGTATCGCCGCTCCAAGCAGTCCAGTAGTCGCCCTGGCGTAGCAATCACGATCTCACAGCCTGAAAGACAGGCAGAGAATGGGGGAAGGGGAGCAGACGAAGAGAAGCACAACGAAGAAACAGCCATGCCTTTTCTTTTTTGCTTGATTGTAACGACAAAAAAGAAATGAGCAAGATCCCATATCCCTCGAGGTGACTTTTGAGTCGACTCAAAAGTCAACTCATGAGTCGACTCAAAAGTCAACTCATGAGTCGACTCAAAAGTCAACTCATGAGTCGACTCAAAAGTCGCAAGATCCCATATCCCATATCCCTCGCAGGCCTGGGGTAACAGCACTAGAGCTGCACCATAGGTGATGCACCGATTCAGTGGAAAAAGAGGGCAAACGTATGGTAAGGAGAAGAAGCTAAAGCCGTGTTGACCCACCCACCTGTCGCAGCTTGAAGCCTTGCTCTTCAATTGACTGGCCTCCCACAATCGACACAACTCGGAGATTCTGCAGCAGAGAGGACAGGCAGCGGAAAGCGGAGGAAAGGAGACGAAAGGAGAACTGAGCAAACTTGACAGTTTCCTCCTCGATCTGCTGCGCCAGCTCCCTGGTGGGCGCCATCACCACAGCGTACGGCCCCTCAGCCTCGCTGGTAGCTATGACTCCAGGGACACAGGACAATGAGACGCCTGAGACGTCTCTCACCATGAAGTGAGCGAACTTGACCGTTTCCTCCTCGATTTGCTGCGCCAGCTCTCGGGTGGGCGCCATGACCACAGCGTACGGCCCCTCAAGCCTCATTGGCCTCTATTACCCCATCAGTGACACAAGACACAACAACAAAACTATCAACGCACCATGAACTGGGCGAACTTGACGGTTTCCTCCTCGATCTCCTGTACCAGTTCCCTGGTGGGCGCCATCACGACAGCGTACGGCCCCTCAGCCTCGTTGATTGTTATCATCCCAGTGAGAAAAGACAGCAAGATGCCCCAAACTCACCATGAACTGGGCGAATTTCACAGTTTCCTCTTCGATCTGCTGCGCCAGCTCCCGAGTGGGCGCCATGACAACGGCGTACGGCCCCTCCGCCTCGTTGGCCTCGGTCATGGGCGGCAGCTTCGAGATGTACGTCAGCATGGGCAGCACAAACGCGCATGTCTTGCCGGAACCTGGGGAAATGGGAGTGTGAGAGGACACCAAGACGGATCGCAAAAGAAACCTAAACCCTGAACCCTTGACGGCTTGGTGGGTGTGCATGCTGCTGGTGAGTGCGAGAAATGCATTGCCACCTCACCATAGGATGTATCGAACATTGCACTTCTCACCAGTCTCAGCAATGCCAATGACATCCCTCTGCTGCAACCCAATGGGCATGGCGGCCATCTGAATGGGCGACGGCTTGGTGTAGTCGATCTCCTTGACTGCCCGCAGCAGCTCCTTCAAGGCTCGGTGGGTGTGACCCGTGGGTGTGTGTGTGTGTCTCCATGTGTGCATCGCTCACCAGTCTCGGCAATGCCAATGACATCCCTCTGCTGCAGCCCAATGGGCATGGCGGCCATCTGAATGGGCGACGGCTTGGTGTAGTCGATCTCCTTGACTGCCCGCAGCAGCTCCTTCAAGGCTCGGTGGGTGTGACCCGTGGGTGTGTGTGTGTGTCTCCATGTGTGCATCGCTCACCAGTCTCGGCAATGCCAATGACATCCCTCTGCTGCAACCCAATGGGCATGGCGGCCATCTGAATGGGCGACGGCTTAGTGTAGCCAATCTCCTTCACGGCCCGCAGCAGCTCTGCTGACAGCCCACTCTCCTCCCAGTTGCGCATGGGGCGTGGCACCTTGGAGCCCTGAATAACACGGGGAGAGGGGGAGAGGAGGTAGCGGGGGGGCGCATAGAGGAGAATGAGCAGCATTGGTGCATCCGGGATTGGTGTAGCCGATCTCCTTCATGGCCTGCAGCAGCTCCGCTGACAGCTCGCTCTCCTCCCAGTTGCACATGGGGCGTGGCACCCTAGAGCCCTGGTAACACGGGGAGAGGGGGAGAGGAGCGGGTGGGATGGGCAAGAGAGCACAAAATGACAGCAGGTGAGGACATGCCCGCAGCAGCTTTGCTGACAGCCCACTCTCCTCCCAGTTGCGCATGGGACGCGGCACCTTGGAGCCCTGTGAACACAAGGAGAGGGGGAGAGGAGGTGGGGGAGGATGACGGGGGGAGGTGGGGTGGGATGGGAAGGAGGGGAGGGTGGCGGCAACAGAACACAGTATGTAAGCAGGTGTGAGGAGTCCAGCTATATTGGTGTGACTTTTGAGAATTCTCAAAAGCAGGTGTGAGCAGTCCAGCAGCAGCTCTGCTGACAGCCCACTCTCCTCCCAGTTGCACATGGGGCACACACACATGGGGCGCGGCCGCGCGGCACCTTGGAGTCCTCCTGAGAAAGGGACATCGACGGAAAAGAACCACGTTAGGACCAAGTGACGCCCTTTGCGGGTTCAGAATAAGAGGGATAGCTTACCAGGTGGACATTTCTTAGGCAGTTCAGGTGGGTGGGTGAGCCAGCCAATGAATGGCTTGAAAAGCACCATTTTGAGACGTCTCAAAACACTTTCATTATCACGTGGCTTTTCAGGTGGGGGTGGGCCAGCAATGAGTGGCTTGAAAAGCAGCATTTCCCCGCCAAATTAGAGTCTAAGCACGTTACACATTCCTGGTCTAATCCAAGCGCATTACACCTGCTGCGATAGGTGATTGTTACAAGACCACGAGCACAGTACCTCGTACGCAATGTCGCGGAGTCGCGGTACCTACCTACCTTGTTGTACGCAACGATGGAATCCTTATATAGTCACAACAGTACCTTGTACGCAACGATGGAATCCTTATATAGTCACAACAGTACCTTGTACGCAATGTTGAAATCCTCTCGGAAGATGCGCCAGTCACGCTCGTTCATCTCGCTCAGCTGATGTGGGGGAGGAAGACGGAGAGAATGGGGAGAAAATGAATACAGTTGAAATTCTGACAGTGAGTAAGACTGCCACAACTTGTCAACAAGCAGGTCACGCTCATTCATCTCGCTCAGCTGATGTGGGGGAGGACGGGGGAGAGAACAGATAGAGAGAAAGCGGATATGGTTTTGAGCTTCTGACAATGAGTTAGTCAGTCAGAACTGGCCAATACACGCCAGTCACGATCCACCATCTCCACAAATGGATGCTGCACTGCAGTGTATGTTTTTTGAGAATTCTCAAAAAACATACACAAATGGATGCTGCACTGCACCATACGATAACAGAAATAAGTGGACAGCGGTTAGAGGAGCGTGGGCAAGGGGAAAGGTAAGAGGAAGGGGCAGGAATAGGAGGGACTCCATACAGCAGATAAGCGAGAGGGAAGATGTACACCACAGCTTGACTCGCTCCATTTTTTAGGCTCCTCAAAAATAATCGAGAGGGAAGATGCACAGCACAGCACAGCTTGACTTGACTTGCTCCACACAGGAGGAGGTTGACATGGCGAGATTGAAATCACTTTTGAGAATTCTCAAAAGTGATTTCAATGCAGATAAGCGAGAGGGAAGATGTACAGCACAGCTTGACTTGCTCCACCCAGGAGGAGGTTGACATGGCGAGTGAGTGTTTGTCTCCTTGCACATCCACTCTCACCTTCTTCTCAGACCAGTGCCGGTCAACGCGCATGTCAAACGTGTCATACGCGTTCGCAGCCTCCTCCCTCTTCTGCTGCGCCTCTGCATCCTCTGGCCGCTCCTCCACACCCTCTTTCTCCTGCTCCGGCATTTATGACGAGAGACGAGAAGAGGATTGACAAACATGCAAACACACTCACACACGCACGCACGCACGCACGCACACACACACATGGACATGCAAATGCCGATGGCATTTCCATGGACATGCACATGGGCGTGAACATACCAATGCACATACGAACACAAGCGCGGGACAGATATGCACACAGGCATGCACATAGAGTTGAAGGAGCGAGGAGACAGAGGAGTGGAGGGAGGTCGAGAAGGTTGGCGAAAGGAAAAGGGAGGGAGGGAACGGGGAAAAGCTGCAGAAAAAAAATCTTCTCAAAGCAGATATAATCATGCTGCAGCGATGCCTGCTCTTACCCGGATGGCTGCCCGCATGTCTGCTTCATTCTTCGCTGCAAGCTGACATGAGGCAAAGCCAGGATAGAGTGACCATGCCATGCCATGAGCAACACCAAATTGCAGGAAGATGTGTCAGATACCATTTGATCATACCATGCCATGCCACACACCGTGTGACCATGTCATGACATGCCAGACAGACATACCATGCCATGCCACACACCATGCACACCACAGCATGGGGCAAGATGGGGAGCGAAACAAACACATGGAAGCATGTAAGAATGAAGCATCAATCTGTAGGTGGAACGATAAGGCAGGGCCATGGAATGAACAGGGGATCAACAAAAACGACTGGACGCCCCTGATGCAACAGTAACCCCAATAAGGGAAAACCAACAACCCCCACTTCTTCTACGTCTTCCCTCCACCCTCACGCACCCCAGGCCCCTTCACCTCCCACCCCACCAAAAACGCCACCCTCTTTCTCTTCGATAACTCCTTTCAGTTCCCTCCTATCCTCATGCTTCTCCTCCATCCCCTCCCATCTCTGTCTCTCACACGCCCGCCTCGCCTGCTTCTGCTCCCTCCTATCGACGCCCGCCCTGAAGCCTCGTCCAAACAGGTGGAAAGTCTCTTCCTTTCACCCCCTCTCTCCCTCCCCCTCTCTCTCGTCCATCTCACCTTCTTCTGCTCCCTCCTGTCCACACCAGCCCTGAAGCCTCGTCCAAACAGCAGCTGTGCCTCGTGGGGGTTCTGGTAGCTGGGGGGCAGCACAGGTTGAGAGAGGATGGAGGAAGCACAGTAAGATGATGGGGGGAGAATATGATCTTTGCAAGTGAGAATCATGGGTTGAAAACGATGGCTTTTGAAACGCCTGAAGCCTCGTCCAAACAGCAGCTGCGCCTCATGGGGGTTCTGGTAGCTGGGGTGGGGCGTGGGGGGCAGCATAGGTCAGAGACGAGATGATGAGGGAAGCACAGTAGGATGAAATCACGTTTGAGAATTTTCAAAAGTGATTTCAACATGGTTGAGAATTTGATATCTCAAAAGTCACCTCCTGGGGAGTTTCTGTAGGTCAGGATGAAAGAAATGACAAGATGATGAAAGGTTGAGATGAAATGATGGGGTTAAGTAGAGATGAAATGATGATGTCACGGTACTACAATACGAACGACGATGGGTTGAAAAGCACATAGAGAGTTGATACTGTCGGCGGCTGAAATGCCTTCAGGCAGGTTGAACTCACAGGGGGTTGACGTCGCGTGAGGTGTCCTCGGTGTTCTCCCAGTCAAAGGAGAATCGGAACTTCTCACTCGGCTTGATCACTCGCTTTTTGGGCTTGCGCAGCCCCAGGTACTGGCCGTGGTGGTGGCACCAAGGGAAGGGAGGGTGGAGGGTGGGGAGGGGAGGGGAGGGGAGGGAGGGGGAGGGGGAGGGGGAAACGGGAAAAGGTGGTGCAAAAAAAGGGGAGGGGGAGGGTGGGAGGGGAAAAGGGGAAAAAGGTAAAAGATGGTCGGGAGAGACGACGAATGGAGAGCTTGATGCCGGAAGGTTTAGGGAGGGAGATGTTGGTATGGAAGCATTGACTGAGATGTTGACAGGTAGTGAGGAACGGAGGGAAGGAGCGAGGGAGCGAGGGATCGAGGGAGGGAGGGAGGGAGGGAGGGAGGGCGGGAGGGAGGGAGGGAGGGAGGGAGGGAGGGAGGGAGGGAGGGAGGGAGGGAGGGAGGGAGGGAGGGAGGGAGGGAGGGAGGGAGGGAGGGAGGGAGGGAGGGAGGGAGGGAGGGAGGGAGGGAGGGAGGGAGGGTGGGAGGGAGGGAGGGAGGGTGGGAGGGAGGGAGGGAGGGAGGGAGGGAGGGAGGGAGGGAGGGAGGGAGGGAGGGAGGGATAACGAGAACTGAAAGAGAGGAAGAAAACGGTAAGGGTGCATTGGGTGAAGGGAGACGAGGAATAGGAGAAGATGTTTCACAAGAAAACCATAATCTGGCCAACAAAACAGAGAGCAGACCCACCTGCTCTCGGATCATCTCCAGCTCCCTCTCCCCGTCCGTGCCTGCTCCTCCAGCCCCAGCCGTTTTTGAGGCGCCTCAGAAACAGACTCCTCTGAAATATGAGGAGCATCAAAGACTCACCTGCTCTCGGATCATCTCCAGCTCCCTCTCCCCGTCCGTGCCTGCTCCTCCACCCCCAACTGTTATGGTGTGCCTCAGAAACGGACTCCTCTGAAATATGAGGCGCATCAAAGACTCACCTGCTCTCGGATCATCTCCAGCTCCCTCTCCCTGTCCGTGCCTGCTCCTCCTCCACCCCCAGTGCCACCCTCCTCGCCCTTCCCCTTCTCCTTCCCCTTATCGCCCTCCCTCCCCTTGTCCCTATCCCACTCTCGCTCCCTGCCCCTCTCCCTATCCCTGTCCCTCTCCCTATCCCTGTCCCTGTCCCTGTGGCTGTCTCGGTCCCTGTCCCTGTCTCTGTCCCTGTAACTCTCCCTGTCCCTGTCCCTGTCCCTGTCCCTGTCTCTGTCCCTTTCTCTATCCCTGTCCCTTTCTCGGTATCTGTCTCTGTCACGGTCCCTATCTCGATCCCGATCCCGATCCCTATCCCTATCCCGCTCCCTCTCTCTGTCTCTATCCCTATCCCTGTCCCCGTCTCTATCCCTGTCCCTATCCCTATCCCTATCCCTGCCCCTCTCTCTATCCCGATCTCCATCCCTCTCCTTCTCCTCCCTCCCTCGGTCACCCTCCCTGCCTCGTCCCTCGTCCCTCTTCCCCTCCTCCCCATCCGCATCCACAGCCTTTCCCCCCTCCTTGCTGTCTGCTGCACCGTCCTCTGCATTCTCATCTGCCGGAATGCCAGGGGGACGAAAAGGGGAACGAGGAAACTTAAGACTACCACAGCCAAACTCACAGAACCAGCGCCAGACGTGGAAAGAGGCAGCTCCTCAGGCGACTCAGAAGTCAAAAGTTGCATCCTCAAACCGAAGGAAGCTGCACCAGAGATAGAAGAGGAGGCAAGAGATAGGAATATGGGAAATGCAAGCAGAAAACGAGGCTAGTCTGAATTTCAGTTTAAAAAAAGGATGCCGGTTGTTGGGAAGAAAGGTCCAATTCGCCTACCAGGCAGGGGAGGGAGTCCTCTGAGCGCCCGCCGTTGGTTCTCGATTCTGCAGGGGATAGGAGAAAAGAGAGGAGAGGAGAGGAGAGGAGAGGAGAGGAGAGGAGAGGAGAGGGGCGGAGAGGAGAGGAGAGGAGAGGACAAGAGAACGGACAGGACAATGAACAAGAAACACAGTAACCAGCAAGTCAGCTGACAGGTGGAAGAATGTCTTTTGAGGCGCCTCAAAAGAAACCACAGTAACCAGCAAGTCAGCTGACAGGTGGAAGAAACGAAGCAGCCACTGGGGCTTCTGTGTTGTTGAAAAATGTATGATAAGAGTGTTCCACGACTCCCCTCTCCCCTCTCCAACCCATTTCCCCCCCAGCCTACTTTCTCATCTGAGCCGTCGCCTCTGCCTTGCGCCTCTGCAGCGCTAGTGTCTGCCGCTGCTCCTTGGTCAGAAACACCGGCTGGAGGAGCAGGAAGGTATGGGGACGGAAGGGGTATAGGGAAGGGGTGACGGAAAGGGGTATAGGGAAGGGGTGAAGGAAAGGAGATGGACATGCAGCGTGAACACTGATGACGCCTCTGCAGCGCTAGTGCCTGCCGCTGCTCCTTGGTCAGAAACACCGGCTGGGGCAGCAGAGACCCAAGGCAGTGGAGGGGTGGGGAAGGAGGGGAGCAATGGGGGAAAGGAAGAGAGGAAGGACGAGCGAATGTGAAAGGAGGGAAGGATGAAGATAAGTGAAAGGGAAGAGGTAGGGGGAAGGAAAAGGGTGAATGGGAGGGGAAGGAAATAAAGGGTGATCACGATATCAATGTCACGAAATGACATTGGATGCAACCATGATGAAGCTAGGCAGCAGCGGCAGTACCGTGAAACAACTTCGTTTCATTCCAAACAGGGTCGCGTCGCGGCAAGTAACTCATAGAAAAGGCGATACCTTGGCCTGCTGTAAGGCGTCCTCTTTCCTCTTCTTCAGCAGCTCCTCCAAGGACAAGGGCTGCACAACAGAACAGGAGAACGACATGGCAGCACGGATAGCAGAGGACAATTCTGTGATTTAACACGTCTCAAAACCCTTTCCTCTTGTTCAGCCCTCGTCCAAGAACAACTGCTGCAAACAGAATAGGAGAATGACATGGCGTGACAGCACAGCATGGAAGGACGCATTGTAGCACACGTGAGAGGACGGACAGGATAGCTTCCGGACGAAGAAATGGGTCCAGAAGAAAGAAGCGGCACTACAGCGTGAAATTCCGCATACAATAACCGTTTTTTTCCGCTTGTACCCCGTACCTCCTGCTTCTTCGGAGCAGCAGCAGCACCAACAGCAGCATCGCCGTTCTGCTTCCCACTTTCTTTCGCCTCGTCACCGTTAACTTGTCCAACCGCCTTTCCCTCCTCCGCCGCAGCTCCCCTCGCATCCTTCCGCGAATCTTCCTTGACATCATTTCCCGAATCCATAACTTCTCTATTCTCTTCCGCTGTACCATCCCTCGCAGCATCGCGTTCGCCCGTTCGAGTCTTCTCCTTTTCGCGCTCACCACTCCTGCTCCTGCTCCTACTCCTGCTGCTCTTCCGTCGCTTCTCCCGGTCGCGACTGCGGCTGCGACGCTTGCGATCCGGAGAGCGACTGCGACTGCGACGCTTGCGATCTGGAGAGCGACTGCGACTCCGCTTGCTGCGACGATCCCGTCGTTCCTTGTCGCCCGTCCTATCCTTGTCGCCCGTTTTAACCTTATCGCCCGCCTTATCCTTGTCGCCCGCCTTATCCTTGTCGCCCGTTTTAACCTTATCGCCCGTCTTATCCTTGTCACCCGCCTTATCCTTGTCACCCGCCTTATCCTTGTCACCCGCCTTATCCTTGTCGCCTTTCTTATCCTTGTCGCTCGCCTTATCCCTGTCGCGGTCGCGCTTTTTATCCCGACCTCGATCTTTCTCCTTCACCTTGTCACCGTCCCTACCTCGGTCTCGGTCCCTGCTTCGGCTGCGACTCCTACTCTTGCTTCTGCGAGCCGTCCTTCCCTCCCTCTCCTCCTCATCTTTCGCCATGTCCGGAGGCGGAAAGAGAGAAGAAACGAGAGAGGCGATTCGGACGAGGATAGGAGGAAACACAAAACTTGAAAGCAAGGAACCTGAACGATGAAGTAAGTTTTGCTAACTGAAGAATTTGAGCCAGTCAGCGACGCGCAGATCCTGAGAACTGGTATGTAGGAATGAAAAAGTTAGGAGAATCTCGAGAACATGACAAATGGTAATCTCTAGGCCAGAGGGATGCTACACCAAGCCAGAATGCACGCGCTATAGTTTGCCTCGGATCTTTACACGTAGTGGCATTCGAAGTAAACAATCGGCATGAACCAGGATTATTCTGGAATGAAAATGTACAGAGCCATGGATAATGGTTTTGAACAATGAGACTACAATATATACGAACTAAATGCATATGCACAATAATTACACCATAATGGATTGTCGTCGTCCTCTTGCTGTGGGGTGCTCCTTTTCATCCATATCTGGGTCGATGTCACTTGTGACTCTAAGCCTGCCAAGGATATGAATAAAAAAGAACCACGTTTTAAAAAAGAACACACATAAAAGTGCGCATACAAGACCAACATAGCATCAATTAAAGCATACACACACATGCACGCACGCACCCTCACCACAATCACAGGGCTGTAACCCAACCTCACCCAACAGCAAGCTGTTTTACCCCTCCGAATACCTGCTAGAACACCCACCAGGCTGTAGCGCACAACAACACCCACCAGAACTGCAGGCTGTAGCGCACGAGTGAGTCAGCCCCGAGCCTATGCGACTCCTCCACGATTCGTTCCGCCAAAGCCAGCTGGCGCCGCAGCATCACTTCCCCATCCTCTTCCTCTTCACTCCCTTCCCCGCCCCTGGGCAGCCCGTCAAAACTTTCCGCACACTTTGATACTAATCCCCGCGGGCGGCGAAGAGAGAAGTCGAGGGAATGGGCCAATCGGAACTCAGCGAGGAGTTTCAGCGAGTCTGCGACAGTGAGAACAGCGGAATGGCCTCCCCCTGCTGCCAGTGCCTGCACCTTGCCCACACACCAGTCCACGTGCATGGGCATCCATGCATAGGACTCTCTTCCAGTTGCCGCCTGCCCACAGCTGTTGTAACCCCACCCCAGGACCTGGTCGTCTGCCATGGCCACTAGCATGTGGTCCTGGGGTCACAGCACGCACAGGGGTGAGAGTGATGAAGCACAGGGAGAGAGAGGGACGCAAGGACACAAGCAATAAGCACGGTCTGCATCGCTGCCTGCCCACAGCTGTTGTAGCCCCACCCTAGTATGTCATCGTCTGCCATGGCCACTAGCGTGTGGTCCTGGTATCACAGCACGCACAGGGGGGAGCACAAAGGCACTAAGCCTATTCCTGCCCACAGCTGTTGTAGCCCCACCCTGCCATGGCCACTAGCGTGTGGTCTTGAGGTCACAGCAGGCAGCAGGTAGATAGGGGGGAGGACGAAGCACAGGGGCTTCGGGACACGAGGAAAGGCACTAAGCCTATGCCTGCCCACAGCTGTTGCAGCCCCACCCCACCCCAGGACCTAATCGTCTGCCATGGCTACTAGCGTGTGGTCCTGAGAGACAAGGGGCACAGGGGGGAGAAGAGGCGTGAGGGAGGGAACAGGCCAGAGCTGTTGTAGCCCCAACCTAATATCTGATCGTCTGCCGTGGTTACTAGCGTGTGGTCCTGAGAGACCCAGGCACGAGGGAGCGGAGGGGCGTGGGGGAGTGAGCGGGCATGGGAAGAGGTAGCAAGGGCAGTCGTTCCTCTAACTCCCCCTGCTTTCACCACCCACCCACCCACCTTCTCTTCCCCATCCCTTCGCCTCTCCATCTCTCAATAAGTACGGAAACACGCTCTCACCTGCCCACAAGTAACCAGCCGCACCCCTTTCGGCATGAGCAGCAGCGGAAGGCGCTGCAGCAGCCCTCTCACAAAGGCCAACGATGAGCACCCACCCCCATGGGACCCCCATGCAGCCCCCATGCACTGTCTCTCACCTGCCCACAAGTCACCAGCCGCGCTCCCTTAGGCATGAGCAGCAGCGGAAGGCACTGCACCAGCCCTCGCACAAAGTCCAGTCAAAAGCAGTCCCTTCCCCTCCCTTCTCCCCCCATGCGCCCTTGCCTCAGTCTCTCACCTGCCCACAAGTAACAAGCCGCACGCCCTTGGGCATGAGCAGCAGTGGAAGGCGCTGCACCAACCCCCTCACAAAGTCCAGTGACGAGCATCCATCCCCACTCGCCCCTGCTCCAAACCCTCCTCCAAACCCCCCTCCAAACGGCACTCCGAATCTACTGTTGCTGCTGGCAGTGGTAGTGGTGGTGAAGCCGGTGTGTAGGTGCTGGAAGGACGGGCAGGATGAGGCGGAGGAGGGGAGTGAGGAGGAGGAAGAGGTGGGAGCAGAGGAGGCGGAGGTGGGGCCTGTGCCTAGCTGGCCGTCTCTGCCAGCTCCCCAGATGTAGAGAGCGCCCCTGTAGTGGGGAAGGGGAGGAGGGGGTGGTTTGGGAGCAGGAGTGGGTGCGGAGGAGTGGGGTGCGATGAGTGAAGTCCAGAGCAGCCGTTCTCATGTGGAACGCCTTTTGAGCACGCCAAGGCCAGTGAATATATGACTTTTGAGACGTCTCAAAAGTCGCCTTTTGAGCACGCCAAGGCCAGTGAATAGGTGCTGTGGTTGACAGCCTTTTTGCTTGTAATGGTATTCTTACTTTTAGTATACATCAAGTTATGAGCACGATTCAGATTCCTACACACCCACCTGTGGGTGAGAGCGCATGTGTGGGTGCGGCCACAGGCCACCTGCGTCACTGACACCCCTTCAAGCGCCCCCACTCGTGTTGGGTGCGTGAGTGTGCGTGTGAGTGGTTGAGAGCACACCTGTGGGTGAGAGCGCATGTGTGGGTGCGGCCACACGCCACCTGCGTCACTGACACCCCTTCAAGCGCCCCCACCCGCCTCGGCAACACCTCGCACGTGCCACCCCGGGCCTGCAGCGTTCGGTGCCCCAACTGCCCCTGTAACCCCCCGCCCCACGTGTACCTGGCATGCACAGAGGGTGAAGGAATGAGAGAGAGGGCACATGGTTTCGCATTCAGATGCTGCCTAGACGCCCCAGCTTCCCCAGTAACCCCCCTCCCCACGTGTACCTGGCATGCACACGGATAACAGGGAAAATACAGATTAGAGTGGCACAAGCTGTGTACCCCCAGCTGCCCCAGTTAACCCCCTGCATGTGCACAGAGAACAGGGGAAACAGGGGATTAGAGGGGTGGGTGGTGGCGCTATAGGGGTTGGATTGAGGGTGATAGCAGAGTGGCCCCCTCTAGCGCCACCACCCACCTCGCACGTGCTGCCCCAGCCTGCAGCGTTTGGTGCCCCAGCTGCCCCAGCCTGCAGCGTTTGGTGCCCCAGCTGCCCCAGCCTGCAGCGTTTGGTGCCCCAGCTGCCCCCATGCCACGGCCTGTGTGCTTCAGCTGCCCCAGTCCCCTGCCCCTCCCCCCCCACGTGTACCTGCCCATGCATGGAAAACAGAGGACTAAGGAAACGGGTGCCCCAGCAACCGGCATGCCACGGCCACGATGCGAATGCCATCGGGGCAGGTCACGGGAGGGTCGTCTAGGAAGCGCTGCAAGGAGGAGACCAGGTGCGGCTGCTGCAGCACCGGCCACTGCAGCCCATCACACGCCCTGCCAGTACAAGAGACATCTACTTCTTTGGATTCCCTCACACGCGTCACCTACATTCTCCACCTTTCCCACCCTCCTCTCCATGTTTCCACTCACATTTCGCCCCGGGAATCGACAGCAGCAGTGTGAAACCCCCCACACGCCACTGCCAGAATATGAATTCCGTCCGGGCAGGTCAGGGGAGGATCGTCCAAAAAGCGCTGGAAGGAGGTCACCAGGTGCGGCTTTTGTAGACCATCGCACACCCTGCCGATGCCCAGCTGCCCATGCTCGTTGTAGCCTGGGTTGGGCAGTGAGCGGGAGGGAGGAAGTTTAGCAATACCCTGACTTGCTGGAAGGAGGTCACCAGGTGCGGACGCTGCAGCCCATCGCACTAGCCTGGGTTTTTTTGGATGGGGGAGTGGCAAAGATGGAGGGACGAGGGTTGGAGATACATCGTCCAGGAAGCGTTAAAAGGACAAGACACCCCCGGGGGTTGCCGCTGCAGCCCGTCACACGCCCTTCGTATTCTCAGCTGCCCATGCTCGTTGTACTGTAGTAGCCTAGATGAGGGGTGTGGAGTGTTGCGAGTGACAGAGGAGTGGTGATATTCCATAAGGCAGGAAGCGTTGGAAAGACGTCCCCAGGGGCCAGGTGTGGCCTCTGCAGCCCATCACATCACACGCCCTGCCGATGCCCACCTGCCCATGCTCGTTGTACCCATGCCAAGCTTGCACCATTCCCACTCACCCCATGCCTGCAGCAGCCCAGTGTTGGACACGGCAGCAGCGTGTGAATCACTGCGAGACACCTGAACAACCGCAAGAGGGTCAGAGACCTTTCCTACCCACCCCATGGGACATGCCATGCTTGCATTACATTGCACATCTCTCTCACTCACCCCATGTCTGCAGCAGCCCAGTGTTGGACACGGCAGCAGCGTGTGAGTCGCCACAAGACACCTGAACAACCACATGGAAGTGGTTCAGGGGGCAGGGAAGGTGAGAGGGGGAGGGAGGGTGTGTGAGAGAATGGGGAAAAATCATTAGTATTATTTGGACTCATGACCACCTAAGTGGCCACCTCAGGTGTCAGACTGCCTAAGTGGCCGCTAAGGGTGTGATTAAAACGAAAAGCCAGATTGAAGGGCAGGGCTCACCGTTTTGGGAGGGAAGGCCCCTCGCATGAGACGAGGGAGGTTGGAATTCTGCAGCGCAAGGAGACAAAAGAAAAGGAAGCGAAAGGAAAGGAAATGAAAAGCTAGGACACGAATGGAGAGGAAATGCAAAGTCCATCAAGGCATTGGCTTTCATGACTGGATTGCTGATGATAAGAACAATCGCCAGTCGTGATAAGACCAGTACCCCCTTGTGATAAGAGCGTTCGCGTCCATGTGGAGACAAAGAGGTTGCATGCGCAAGGAAGTGACATCTGTCTCTCCTACCACCTGATAGTACCGCTCTGTACCAGCCAGCATGACGTTGTATCTACCAGCATCGCTTTGCACCCACCTGGTTCTGGCCCCATACCCACAGGCGCCCCTCTTCCCCCTCCTCCTCCCCACCACCCCCATGCTCCGCATTGACCTCTCCTCTCTTCCCCCTCCCCCTCCCCCGCCCGCCCCCTCTCTGCCTGGTGATGGCAGCAGTGCACTGCGCGCCACACGCCACAGCAGTCACCTCCTCCCCTGCCTCCCCCAAAGTTGCTAACCTTATTGGCTCCCTGTAGGGAAATCGTGGGACGAGGGAAAAGAAGAGGACGGAGAGGAGTGAAGACGAGGGAAACAGAGGAGGGGTTGATGCCTGCAGGGCACTGCGCGTTACACGCCACAGCAGTCACCGCTTCACCTGTAGGAACGGAGAAAACGGAGATCCGAGTCTGTCGCATCTCAGTGCTCTGTGCTTACTCAGGTAGTAAAACAGGTCAACGGAGTCAACGGAGTCAATGCAGTCAACGCACCTGCTGCTCCGTCGCTCAGCTGCCTGTACTCATTCGACCCCCACGTAGACAGGCTCCCATCAATCCCCAGGGGGAAAGTCAAGTCAATGGAGTCAACGGAGTCAACGCACCTGCTGCTCTGCTCTGTGCCGTCACCCAACTGTCCATACTCGTTCGACCCCCACGTGATCAGGCTCCCATCGATCCCCACCGCTGCGCTATGTTCCAGTCCGCACGCCACGCTAACAAGCGCAACGGACCGCCCGTCCCGCGCGCGGAACTTCTCCCGCGCGATCCGCAGCGGCGCGCGCTGGCAGCGCCACGTGCGCGGATCCCCCCGCAGCCCCGCGCGGTGGCTGGTCTGCCCGCGGATATTGAATCCCCAGAGGTAGAGCGCGCTTTCAACGGGCTGGGAGAGACCGGCGATCGCGGCGGAAGGTGCGGCAGGAGGTACGGCGGGGGAAGCGGTAAGGCCGGCGTTGTCGCGAACAAGCCCGTCCATTGCTGCTTCGAATGGAGCCTGGCTACTAGATGCTCGGACCTCAAGTTGAGCTACGCGGTTGGGCTCGAGAGGCTGGGCGGAAAGGGGGCGGGCAACCGACGGAGAGGCGGGATGGAAGCTGCGGAGCTAGAAGCGCGGGAAATCAGCGACGCCACGCGCGTTTTGCAGTTAGTGTGTGGGAAATGCTGCAGTAAGGAAGCTGAAATGTAGCAAAGCTTGTTGGATGACTAGCAAGTGATCAAACTCGAATGGTCACACAAATTTCGGCACGAGGCTCTGAAAACCACAGGTGGAGGGCTTTCGGGTCGGCGCGCGGCACCTCTAGTGCAGTGTGAGAGCTCGAAGCTGGCTCTCAGTTGCACGTGGAGGATGATAATTGGTTGTGCTCTCAATATGCCAGCCAATGATGGACACCTTCGTTGTAAGCTGGGATGAAAGCAGGGTTGGTTTGCTAGTGTAATCACTCTCAATAAGTGCACGGAAATCGTCAATATAATGTTCAAATGTGGAATAAAGACAACCGTTGTTGCTGATCTAGAGTTGTGTTCGTATCGCAGATCTGTACGTGTGTACTCCTTATGGAAACTCTCCCTGCGCCACATGCGCTTATTGCGTGTGTGCCGCAGCGGAGCACAAGCCTCCCTGGGGAAAGCTACGGCGAGCTTTCACCTGAAATTTCCATTTTAGACGGTGATTGGCTTCCGTGCTCTGCGGCGATCACCATCTCTGCGAATGATGCTTCGACTAGGTTGCCCGAACGATACAAAAATCTCCAGAATTGAAGTGTATTTCTTGCATCAGAACTCAGACAAGAAATTGACGGAGGCGGGGGTGGTTGTAAACTTGGACTCCCCCACCTTTGCCACCATCTCCCGTGTGTTTGGAGAAAAATGTTAAGGATTGCACGGATTTTTATGTTGTTGCCCGGACCCCCAAACATACGCGGATGTCCCGGTCTCAATTCCCGCCAGGTACCCCGCCAAATGCGTCCATCTGGGCCCAGTTCGGAAGGCATTGGGGCCATTATGGCCATTATGGGCATTTTTAACGGGCCCCCAAAAAATGCCGCCTGGGCATTTTTAGAAGCAGCTTCGAAATCAGACTGAAGCTGCTGTGCACCTTCGGAAAAAAAGGTTTGAGTGTTCGGTTGGCATTAATTGGGTGTAGATTGATGGCATCAATCGAAATTTATCTTAGAAGAAGATGCTTGGGAGTTGCCCTGATGGATCGCGTGATCATGTGATTGTCTGGCATGTTTGACCAGTCACTTTTGATTGCCCCGAATCACTGATACCCCGCATGGTGCGGGGCCTCGAGGCCGCATGGTGCGGCGTATGGGAAAATGGGCACTTTGCCCGAGAAACTGGGCCTTTTAAAAACCAATGGGTTGGAAACGCCATCGAAAAAAGCGCTGTTCGTCTGGCATTCCATTGTTGTCAGGTTCGGCATAGATCCGCCTATCCCGAGCCTCGATAACCCCTCAGGCGATTATTAAGGAAGGTTCCAGGGTGGTCGTTTCACTGTAGCCCATCCCCCTCGCCCGTTTTTTTCATGCCTGCCGAATTGGGCCCTGAATGTCGCAGCGCATTCTTTTTTCCCAAAGCGCATGTTGAACACAAATTACCTAGAGGACGTTTCACAGAACCGAGTCTTAAACGTTCTGTACCGCCGCATCTTTGAAGGAACCGTACTGAAAGAGGTTTGTTAGCCTCCTCCTATGCAGCCACCACTTGCTCGGCTTTCATTCCAGAGGATAAATACCGCTGCTGCTGATGCTAACTAGCATTGTCGTTCACTACCTCATCACAGCCACATATCTGGTCTCTGATCTCAAGGAGTTGATTCAGCAGCTAGGGAAATTCGCCCGCCATGAAGCTCCACCGTTACCTTAGCTTGTCCCTTTTTCTCCTAGTCGTCACAGCATCCATCGGTGAGTTCCATTAAATGTCTACCTCTGCAACCTGAGATATCAGTCGTAAAATCTCGTGAATCAATCTCAACGATATGCTTCATTTTCCATGTGTCTGACACAAGCTTTACTACATGTGTCATTACTTTCATCTGATGCGCAGCGATCACGACGGCGCGCCCTGTCAGTAACAAGAACGACAAAAATGGCGGGAAGGGCGGACCCCCGGATGCAGGCCCGTGCCCGCTGCCTAAGCAAAAAGACGCTGAGGCTCTCGGAAACTTGACAGGTGAGATTTCTCCGGAGAATCTCGGCAACGTTTACACGCTTGGCGGGCCGTTTCGCCTGTCCTCTTTTGCGAATCAACGCGTTGAGATAGAAACTCGCATCGACGAGATTCGTACGGCTTTTACAATCAAAGCACAACTTCTTTCCTCTTTTCGCCTCTCCTCTTTCCTCCTGTCCTTCCTTCCGCGCTCTCACTGTCCTCTCCGCCCTTCTCCCACACACTACGCTCCCCCGCTCCCCTCTCTCGGCGTTCTCCCCCCTCGGTATTTCCGCGCAGCGATTCTCGCCGCGCGGCTGAACGGATCCGAAGTGGTTGGAGCCACCAGCGACGTCAACGCCACCGGCCGAATCTGCCTGGCCGTCTTCGAGTAAGCCAACAACCGCCTGTGGTGCCCCCACCTGGTCCTCTGTGCCGCCTTCCATTTTCCAGTTGCTTTCGTCCTTCTGAAATTGAAGTCTGAAAATTACTATACCCCTTTCACCTGGTTCTCAATTTCAAGTTGAGTCAAAACACAGGAAAGCCCTGCCTGTTTCACATCGTTTCATTTGGTCGACTGCTCCACATCATCTTCCCGAGCTGTCTTTCATCTCCTTGAACATTGCACATTCCGTTCCTCCCTTCCCCTGCCTCGGTTATGTGAAACCTGACGGAAACCGTCAGGCTAGACGGCGACTACAACGTCTTCTACAGTGTCGTCACCTCCACCTCCGACGACGGCGAGCCGTTCGGCGCGACGATCTCGATCGGCGCGGCGGGAGAGGGGGGCGACGCCGCCGCCCTTTTAGTACAAGCAGGAGAAACCACCACGTGGGCGAATCTTACCCGTCCGCCGCCTCCCCCGCCCAAGGGCAAAAAGAACAAGGGCACACCACCCCCTCCGCCTCCTCCGAAGTACACTTATGCGTCAAACGGGACGTGGCTTAACGCGAGTGCAATGCCCATGGTCGGCGGAATGACGCTGAAGGTGCTGGTGGATGCGATGCTCGCGAAGCCGGATGGTTACTACGCGTCGTTCGCGACGCTTGCTTTTGAGTCGGGTGCGGCGCGGGGGCAGTTTCAGTCGGACCCGCTTCCGCCGCCGCCCAAGGACAAGAAGGGCGGGAAGGACGGAGGGAAGAAAGGAGGGAAGGATGGCGGGAAGAATGGTGGTGGGAAGAATGGAGGCGATCAGTTCGGCACTCTTGTCGGTAAGCGCAGAAGAAATAGAGACTTCACGTCTTTCCGCTCCAAGCCTTCTCCGCGGCTTTTCCTCGCCACCATTCATACTTGCTTAGGAATCAACCGCCAACCGTGCATTGTTTCCTTTCTGTGATTCCGCGATTTCGTGCAGGCGTGGTCGCAGCGCGTGTCAACGGCTCTAATGTTGACCTCCAAGGTGACGTCAACGCCACGGGCTGCATTGACCTCGCCGTCTTTCTGTAAGCTTCTCGTTCTCCCTTCTACTCGCGTCTACTTCCTTCTCTCTTCTCGGTTCACCCCTTACTCTCTCATCCTCCCCTTACTTCTGGCATCCTGTTTTTGCCTCTTGTTAGCTTTGCCCCTCTTTACCCGCCTGTCCCATGGCCAAACACCCGCCCCTCTCTGCCCCTTCTCGCCCCTCCCTTCTCCTTATCGCCCTTCCTTGCCCCTCCTTACCCCTCCTTGTCCCTACTTGCCACCTCCCTCAGCAACGCCACAACTAACGACTACGACATTCGTTACCACGTACGCGTCAGTCTGAACGACTCTGGCGAGCCCATTGGTGTGGTCATCAAGAAGGGCGCTGACGTGGCACTCACCGTGCTCACCAGCGACGCCACGTGGACCAATCGCACGCTCTCAGACGCCGAGCGCGCCAAGCTGGGCGGCAAACTGACTCCCAAGGGCAAGAAGGGCAAGCAGCCGCCTCCCCCGCCTCCCCCTCCCCTCGGGTACAACTACGAAACCTCCGGCACTTGGCTAAGCGCCAGTACTTTGACGGCGGATAACGGGCAGACGTATAAGGAGCTGGTGGATGCCATGCTGGCTGCTCCTGACGCTTACTCTGCCTTCATCTACACCAGCTCGTTCCAGGCTGGTGCAGCGAAAGGTGCTTTTGCGAATGTCACCAAGGATGGGGAACGGTCGGGTAAATTGGGCGTCAAATTGGGCGTCAAATTGGGCGTCAAATTGGCCGTTAAAGCCAGATTCGGGCTTGCCTGAAAGCCCATGGGGCGCGGACGAAGTGTACTCATTCCCTAGCCAAATTGGTCATCAAAGCCTTGTACGATAGCACATCTACCCTGGACCCCTACACAGTGGAACATAGAGTGCCTGACGGGGTTTATGGAGGTGCTTTAGCTATTTCAGGATGACTCTCTGTTGTACACATATAAAGGCTTCAGAAATATGATTCCTGCCAGTGTTCTCCTAAACACCTGATGCATGGACACTCAGCGCTGCATGCACAATCAGCAAGGCAAGGGAGATCGACCGCATGCTACTAGCCAACTAGCTAGCTAGCAACCCCTCGATAGCATCACACCCAACCAGTAATCTTCTCCCACCACGACTTGTGGAGATCTCTAGTGCAGGCCCCACGATATCAGGGCAAAACATCCTGATTACCCTGAATTCAGGATGCACAATTGAGTCTGCACTGTCATTTCAGAATAGTGTCACTTTTTACCCTGAGCTCTCAGGATGTTTGTATATGCAATGCCCTGGAAAATCAGGATAGTTGTGGTGTACTTCCCTGTAGCGTCAGGATGAATGTCGAGCCTTGCCCTGTCGAATTTTTTTTTTGGGGGGGGGGGGGGGGGGGGGGTACCGTTTCCCGGGAATTTTTTCCCCGTAAAAATTTCCGCCGCGGATTGCTTTCCCCCCGTGGAATTGTCCCGCCTTCGCGATCCCCTTGCACTTTCGACCCTGCGCAACGCCACAACCAACCCATCAGACGGGGAAAACATGGAACCCAACCCATCTCGTCAAGTGCCATGCACGTACTAGGTGGGTGCCTCACTGTGCTGTTAGAGTAGCAACACTTGTGAAGCTCGGCTGGCTCACTCGCACTAGCAATGGCCAACGAGGACCATGTCGCGGCGCCAGTATCATCGGCAAACCCTGTCTTAGCTAGTCGACCACAGGGTTTGACAGGACTAGACTTCTTGCGTCCTGCCCAAACCGTGTCAACCTTACCGGTATTTTCACCCGCTGTTGGTTCATCTCCAACTCAAGCAGGAATACCACCCCGTGCTAGTACAATCCCCACCAGTGTTTTACGACCTGGTGCAACACGGATCGGCCCTGCCGCTAGTGCTAAGTTAAAAGCGACCAAGCACAAACAGTCGCGCTTGTCTTTCTCTCGCGATAGTCCTTCGGAACCTACCGTACGCATCCGCATAGAGCCAGTAGTACCTGGACCATCTGCCGTTCCTGCAACAGCTTCGTCTACTGAGGAATTGACCGATGAGGCAGAAGAAAAATACCAGGAGGCGCTTATGAAGTACAAACGGGAATGGTCAACTGATTTCCCGTGGCTCGTGCTTTGTCAAACCTCCTTCGGTTTCCCATCGGTGAGGTGCAGTCTGTGTATGGTGCACGCAGGACACGGCACAAACTACGGCGCTGCTGGCGAAGGTGCCGTCGACGTCCAAACCCAGGCATTCCGCACGCATCAAAGATCCAGGAAGCACAAACGGTCCGTCAAGAGACAGGCCCTGGCGGAGCAGGCGGCTGAGAAGCAGCAGCGCATCATCGACTGCCCAAAGGCTGGAGACATCCAGCGTGTAAGAGTCATCGCGTTGCTAGAAACCCTGCTTTTCATCTGCAAATGTGACGCACCGATTGAGATGTGGCTTCAATTAGTTCGGCACCTTGCAGAGCGACAGACACCAGGCTTCCCCAAGAATGGCTACGGTGCTTATTACACCAGGTGAGCCGCGAGTCAACAGTATCTGTTATAGTCGTTAACCTTAGTACGGAGATTGCTCACAACTTTCACACCGTTGCTTAACCACAGTACCTTCTCCCGTTGGATGCAGATACGGGTTTGCGGAGCTCATCGCAAGCACTGCAACATATCTGCGCGCTCGTCAGGACGTCTGGTTGCAGTCTAGTCCATTTATCGGACTAACCTGTGACGAGAGTACGGATAGTGTGCATGGCAAACACCAGATCGTATTTGCCACGTTTCTCCGTGACTCTCGTGTAGTCAGGGAGTACATCGGGCTATTGACGGTGGAGAAATGCGATGGCGCTTCACTGCTTTCCCTGTTGCTGACACTCCTTGACTCCCTTCGTGTTGACATAAGCAGGGTGGCCGGGATTAGCACGGATGGCGCAGGTGCGATGATGGGTAGCACAAACGGGCTGGTGGCTCGCCTCCGTGTACGGGTCCCGCACCTCTTCTCCAGCCACTGCATTGCACATCGGTGAGTAACACTCATTGCCTGTGTGTGTTGCATCTGAATGCCCATCAAGTTGCGCAGAAACAGAAGGGCAGCTAGGCGCTCACATGATCACCAGCTCATGCCATTCCTCACACATTTTGCTTCCCCCCTCCTTTCCCTCCCCCCCCCCCCGCTCCAGACGTGACGGTGCTCTGCTCTATCGTCTCCTCGTGGACGGACAGCAACGGCCCGCAGAAACAGTCGAGGCAAAGCCTCCCTCCTCAAACCCACCTCCCCTTCTCTCCCTGTTACCCTCCTTTCTCTCCTGGCCACATCATGTTGTGCAGAGAGGCGCTGGCAGCCAAGGACGCCGCCACTGCAGTCCCTGAGCTGGGCCTAATCGACTATATGCTGAAGGAACTCGCGGAATACCTGGGAAGGTCGCATCCCTCTCACAATGAGTTCAAAGAGCTGCAGGAGGTGTTCTGCCAGACAAACCTTGAGCTGCAGGGAATTCACGCAGTTCGTTGGCTGAGCCGAGGCGATGCCATCACGCGCTTGGTGCGAGTGCTCCCTGCTGTCATCGTGCTCATGTGGGAGTGGGACGACGACTTCTACCCGATTGTGACTTCTGTGAAATTCAATGTGTATCTCTATTACCTCGCCGACATGCTCCTCATCCTCAACAACCTCAACCTGGAGTTTCAGAAGCGGGAGGTGAGTTGCCCCGGCCTTCCATCCCCGGCCTTCCCTCTGGCGGCCTTCCCTCTGGCGGCCTTCCCTCCCCCCTTGTCTCTCCAACAACCGGGGGAAATCTCCTGTGCTGCGCGCAATCAGCGCGCACTGGAGCCTTGCCTTTAGCACCGAGCCTGAGGTTGCATGCAAACGTAGCCTCCTTGCCCCGCATCTCCCCCTTCTCCCCCCCTGACTCACCCTTTCCTCTAACCCTTCTCTGCCCCGTCTTCCCTGCGTCTCCCCTTTCTCTCCCCGTCCTTGTTGAAACTGTACCTTGTCATGTGTCAGGTCGACATGACATCGGTGCAGTCGACGGTGCGCCGCACCTTGATCACCATCCGTACGCGCTACATCGAGTGCGGCAATGACTTCGGTGGCGGCCCACAACAACATCTCGGGGCCTTCCTAGCCAGGCTCAGAAAGTCTCCGAAAGTCACGGTGGATGGCGTGGACAAGGAGGGGCGGCCGCGAAAACACAGCTTCGAGCTGCACGAGGAGCCATTGACGGGCTACAGCAAGACACCGGATGACTTGCAATCGTGCCTCGATGTCTGCCGCCGCCACGCCAAGTCGACACTCAGCCACCTCCAGAGGAGGCTGGGGGATCTCGAAAGCCTGAACGGTTTCAGGCTTTTTATGCTAGACACGTACCCTGAGGACACGGAGGGGCGCGCTGAGGAGTGCCTCGAGCACTTCGAGACTCTCGTGGACTTGTTCCATGCCCGCGAGCGAGCAGACATTCTCCCAGGTAAGCACATCTGTCCAGAATCTGCCTTGTTCTGTACCTGCTTTGTGAACAAACTGAATATGCCTTGTTGTGTCCTTGCTTTGTGAAAATCCAGAATCTGCCTTGTTCTGTCCCTGCTTTGTGAAAATCCAGAATCTGCCTTGTTCTTTCCCTGCTCTGTGTATAACCAGAATCAGCATTCTGTCCCTGTTCTTTGTGTAATGCATGGCAGGTGTGGACAAGCGTGCTGCCAAGAAGGAACTGAGGACATTCGTCCCTGTCCTCGCTGGCAGTCCTCGAGGCGAGCGCACTTTTCAACGCGGCCTGGCGGCCATGCTGCGAACGAAGGACTGGGAGCGGAGTTACCCCAACCTCGTCCGCCTCTGGACAGCGGTGGCTGTCCTGCCGCTCAGCACCGTCGAGTGCGAACGCGGCTTTAGCCGCCAGAACGTGATTAAGTCCTGGCAGAGGACCAGCCTCTGTGATGCCAGGCTCAGTGACCTGATGTGCCTGAGCCTGGTAGAGTATGACATGGAATGGGGTAAAGTTGTGGATTTGTGGCGCAGCAGCAAGAAGAGGAGGCCTATTAGGAGAAGGGAGAAGCAGAGGCACAGGCCAGTGAGTGCGGCGGGGAAGGGGAACGTGTTGGAGGACGGACAAGAAGCAGATACTGAACATGGCAGCAGCAGCAGCAACGACAGTGGGTTTAGTAGCAGCAGCGAAGATGATGATGAGTGAGGATGAGGGCTAAGAGGAGGTGTAGGAGTTAATTTAGTAGTAAAACTCCAACTATATGTGCTGCTCTGCTCTTCTCTGCTCAGCAGAGTCTGGTCTGGTCTGATGTGTGTTAAGTCAAGAACCCTGAACTCTGGTTTTTTTGCCCTGACAGGTCAGGATTGATTTCTGCAGAAGCCCTGAACATACAGGATGGCTTTGAAAATTTGCCCTGACAAATCAGGGCATTTTTTTAGATTCTAGAAAAGTGCCCTGAGGCCCCAGGATGCCCTAAATCCTAGGGAGGGCCCTGCTCTAGTGTGTTTCTCGGGATGATCAGTGCCCTGCGTAATGACTGCTCAGAATTTAAAGGGTCCACTACCCACTGTCTGTCAAGAATACAACTAGGAATGATGGATTGGACTAGGCAAGAGCTGAGTACAAGTAGGGGAAACCTAACCCTAAAGTGTTGTACTCACTAAGGAGTGACCCTACTGTAGCCTAGAGATACAATTGTAATTTGACACACCCCCATCGGCAAAGTAGGGGACAGCAAACACAACAAGCGGTCACAAGACCAGTCTGCAGAAGAGAACACAGCTCAGGGTGGATCACAAAGTCACCACGCATTCTGAGCACAAGCAAGTGGCCACAAGGCCAGTTCACATGCAGAGGTATATAATAGCAAGGCAGTACACTGATCAAAACCTAGCAAGAGAAAACATGCAGGTATAAAGATATATAGCAGTGTACAACAAGAGCAAGTCAAGCAACCAACAGGTGAGGCAGAGTGGGCACAAGCCCAAGAGCAGTGCAGAAACGGTGATGATCACCAGCCCCAAGGGCCTTGGTGAAGACATCAGCAGTGTTGGCCCGAGAGGCCACGTAAGCAAGGCGCAGCTGACCACGCTGCTGCAGCTCACGCGCAAGGAAGTAGCGAAGAGCAATGTGCTTCGTTCTGTGCTCCAGTCTCTGCTCGCGACACAAGGAAAGCATTGCCTTGTTGTCGACGTACAGAACTGGAGGAGAACGAGGCCGCTCCCCCAAGTCAGTCAGCAGGTAGGTCGGCCAGCGTAGCTCCTGTGCAGCCATGGCCCCAGCGTAGATCTCGGCCTCACAGCTGGAACCAAGCACAGAAGAAGAACGAGTGGACCTCCACGAGACAGAACCAGCGCCAAGACTGAAGGTGTAACCCTGTGACGAACGCTGAGTCGTCTGGTCGTCGGCCCAAGAAGCGTCAGAGTGTCCTGTGAGGACCACCGAACCCCGTCCTCCAAGCACGAGCCCCATGCCCGATGTGCTGCACAAGTAACGCAGTACCCTCTTCGCAGCATCAAAGTGCACCTTTCGGTGTCGACCAGGTGCCACGTAGCGAGCCAGGAGGCTGAGAGGGTACGCGAGGTCAGGTCGTGTGCACGTCATCAGGTACATGAGGCAACCCACAAGCTCTGGGTACGGACCACTCGGCTCTACGGACTCGTCCGAAGGTGGAGCTGAGAGCGAGTGGCCGGTAGACAGAGGAGTGGGCTGTGGCGAGGACCAAGTGAAGCGGAAGCGCTGAAGGACCTGGTGCACCATGTGTGACTGAGTGAAGGTGATGGTGCGCCGTGGTCTGTCCCGGTTGATCTGCAAGCCAAGATAGCTCCGCAGCTCACCCAGGTCAGTGCAGGTGTGTCTCTCCTGCAGCTCCGCCTTCACTAGGGCCAGTGCCTCAGTGTCAGCAGTAGCAAAAACCAAGTCGTCGACGTACACGAGGATGTAGAACGGCGGCAGAGTAGTGTCGGTGCGTAGAAACAGCGACGGGTCAGCAGTCGAAGGAGCAAACCCAAGAGCCGCAAGTGTCGTCCTCAGTGTGTCGTGCCACTCACGGGGCGCCTGTCGCAGGCCGTACATTGGTCGCCGAAGGCTCCACTGGGTACCCTCAGGAAACGATCCAGTGAAGCCCTGTGGACGGCGCAACCAGATGGCCTCGTGAAGGTTACCCTGCAAGAAAGCTGTCGAGAAGTCGAGGGAGTGCAGCTCGTAGTCACGCTGAGCTGCAACGTGTAGCAACACCCGAAGAGTGGTCATCTTCGGGGTGGGGGAGAAGGTCTGAAAGAAGTCGACCCCCTCACGCTGACTGAAGCCTCGAGCAACGTAACGTGCCTTGAAGGCAGGCGGAGAACCCGGCGGCCGCTTCACCCTGAAAATCCACATGCCACTGACGATGTTCGCCCCAGGTGGGGGAACCTCGTCGACGTAGGTGCCTGCGGACTTCCAGGAAGCCATCTCTACGTCCATGGCTGTCTGCCACTGAGAGGAGTACTCACCCGAAATCGCCTCCCTGTAGGAGCGCGGGGTGGGAATGTCAAGTGCATCCGGGTCTCCCTCAGGGGCAAGCAGCATGGTCGCGTGATGGGGTGAAGCGGCAGCAAGGCACTCCAGCTCCTCCTGTCTGTCCTCAAGAACGTCACAGCCAAGGGCAGTACAGCCAAGAGCAGTCTCACCCCCGACGGATGGAGGACAGGCAGGGACAGGGTCAGAGACAAGACTCGCAAGGTAGTCTAGGCGGTACACAGCAGCAAAGTCAACAAGCTCAGCTACTAGGGCAGACGCAGCAGGAGACGAGAACGTAGGGTCCGTCACAACCGTAGCAAGAAGGCGAGTAACAGTCGGACTGGACGCACGAGCAAGGTCAAACGGAGGGTCAGCAACGTCAGGCAGAGAGGACGCAGGAGGTAACGGTAGTACAACACGCTGAGGAACAGAGGAAGGACGGAGTGTCATATCGTGAGTGCCGGGGACAGCCGGAGCACGCGGACGACGAGCACGGACAGCAGCTCTAGGCTCAGGCTCAAGGTCAAAGCTAGACTCAGGCTCTCGACGCTCAGGGGTGGAAGCACGAGTCTCAGGCTCTCGACGCTCAGTCAGGGACTCTGACACTGCAGTGTAAGGAGCAGGAGCAGGCAGTGGGGAGTGTGGTAGCAGCGGTGGCTGTGACTGGTCCGCTGGCGGACACAGCAACGGAGGAGTAGTACCTGCCACAGGGAAGCCAGTAGCACCTGGCGGAAGACTGAGAAGGTGGCGAAGAGCACCAGTAGCTCCCGTACCTCCAGCACGAGCAGCTCCTCCAGTACCCCCAGCAAGACCTCCAGCACCAGTAGCACCAGCACCTCCAGCACCACTAGCTCCGACAGCGCCAGCACCTCGAGCACCAGTAGTACCTCCAGCACCTCCAGTGCCTCCAGCTCCAGCTCCAGCGCCTCCAGCACCAGTAGTACCTCCAGTACCTCCTGTGCCAGCAGCTCCAGTAGCACCTCCTGCACCTCCAGCACCAGCAGTACCACCTGCTCCGGCAGCTCCAGCACCTCCAGTACGAGCACCTCCGGGACCAGTAGCTCCAGCACCTCCAGGGTCAGCAGCTCCCGCAGCTCCAGCACCAGGAGCACCAGCACCTCCAGTGCCACCAGCTCCAGTACCTCCAGCACCGGCAGCAGCTCCAGTACCCCCAGCACTAGCAGCTCCAGTACCTCCTGCACCAGCAGCACCTCTAGTACCTCCAGTAGTACCTCCAGCACCTCCAGCAGTACCTCCAGCACCTCCAGCACCAGCAGCACCTCCTGGACTAGTAGCTCCAGCACCAGCAGGACCGTACCCTCCACCACCAGGACTGCCTCGCAGAACGACCCACGCACGAATCGCCTGCGGCGAGAGCGTCTCAAGTAGAGCAGGCTGCGGTGGCTGTCCAGCTCCAGTACCTCTAGTAGTGGTAGCTCTAGCACCTCCAGCACCAGAAGCACCTCTAGTACCTCCAGCTCCAGCACCTCCAGCACCAGCAGCAGCTCCAGTACCTCCAGCACCAGGACCTCCAGAAGGACTCGCAGCACCCCCAGAGTCAGTACCCGAAGTCTCAGCACCCCCAGAGTCAGCACCCAAAGTCTCAGTACCCTCAGTCCCAGCACCCTCAGGCTCAGCACCCTCAGTCCCAGTACCCTCAGTCTCAGCACCCTCAGTCTCAGCACCCTCAGTCCCAACACCCTCAGTCCCAGCACCCTCAGGCTCAGTACCCTCAGTCCCAGCACCCTCAGTCTCAGCACCCTCAGTCTCTGCTCCAATGTCCACAGCAGTAGGCTGCAGAGGCGGCGAAGACGGCAGAGGTGGGAACCCGGGGGGGGGTAGCCAGACGAGGAGAGCGGGCACCCCCAGACTCACCACCCCCAGCCCCAGCTCCAGTAGTCTCAGCTCCAGAGTCCACAGCAGCAGGCTGCGGAGGCGGCGAAGACGGCAGTGGTGGGAAACCCGGGGGGGTCGCCAAGCGAGGAGTGTGGCGAGTGGTCGCCGTGTCGTCGGCGACGGCGTCACCCCCCTCAGGTGAGTCAGAGGAGTCAGAAGAGATCTCAACTGGCTCATCCAAGGGGGGTGGGTCTACCTGGGACACACCTGAGGGAGCAGGACCCTGTGGGGGGAGGGGGTCTACCGGGGGGGGGGACTGGTACCAGGAAGAGGGGTGCAAGGGGGACCGGGTGGGACGCGTGCGGGTGAAGTCGGTAGTAACAGACCGACTCGTCGAAGGTGACGTCCTGAGAGGACAGAACACGACGCGAGGCAGGGTGGTAGAACTGCCAGGGTGGAGCGTCGGTGGGGAAGCCCAGGAAGACACAGCGGAGAGTGCGAGGAGAGAGCTTGCTCGCTTTGGTATCGCGAACAAGGGAGAGCGCGCCCCAGACCCGAAACGACGACACATCACCAGGCTGTCCCGTCCAACGAAGTGTGGGTGAGGTCTCTGGAGCAGAGACATGGGGCCAGAGGTTGAGCTGATGCGCGGCGTATCGGACCGCAAACGGCCACAAGAAATGGGGAGCAGCCGCATGGATCATGGAGGTACGAGCAACCTCCATGATCAGGCCAATGCGACGCTCAGCGATCCCATTTTGCTGCGGAGAGGCCGGAAGCGTGAACGACTGGGCGATGCCCTCATCCTGGCAGAACGTCTCAAGGACGCCAGAAGAGAACTCACCACCCCTGTCAGAGTGCAGACGCAGGACTGGGAAGTCCTGATGAAAGCGCTCGTGTAGCTGGAGACGAGTAGCACGGATCCAAGGGATCAAAACACCGCTGACGTCCGCCTTGCGACGCAAGGGGAAGATTGTGGTGTAGCGTGTGTAGTCGTCAACAACCAGCAGGAAGTAGCGCTCCTGGTCCGTCCCACCGATGGGGGCCGGGCCCCACACGTCCAGGTGGAGAGTCTGCAGAGGAGCAGTGGTCGGAGGAAACTCGGAGGAGTGAGGAGCGGCGCGCTGCCGCCCCTCGACGCAAGGAAGACACGGCGGCGCAAGTGAGCTCGGGAGGGGGGGCAGGGTCTCAGGGAGGCCAGAGACCAGGAGCCGGGAGTGCATGCCGCGCAGACGCTGCAGGGAGGGGTGACCAAGACGGTGGTGCCATCGCTGAGTCTCGTGCGTGAGTACTCTGCACGAGCAAGACGCAGCTAACTGCCCTGACGCAGACGCTCGACTCAACGCAGCTACCTGACCTGACTCAGCCACCTGTGCAGACGCAGTGGTCAGTGTGTACAGACTAGACCCAGGCTGACGAGTGAACGTAGCCAGGTGACGGCCAGTCCGGGAGCACGTACAGATCGCCACACGCTGCCCTCCAGGAATAAAGGTATCAACCCAGACATCCTGAATGGCAGCGTTGCTCACCAAGTTTGTCGAGAACGTGGGGAGGTGGAGACCTGACAAAGAACCAGAGGGGACTGCTGGACAAGGGAGGACCGTGGAGGCTCTCGCAACCACTGGGCCCCCAGAGGGGTCAGCCAATGAGACTGGGACAGGTGCTGTGAGTGGTGTGACTGTGGTGCAATCACGGAAGAAGCAACGTGACGCGCCTGAGTCAAGCGTGAAAGTGTGCAAGACCTCAGCTGAGGCAGGACCTGTGGTAGTAGACGCACTAGCACCTAGAGCATCGGTAGACTCACGGGCACCTAGAGCTGCAGCAGACTCACTAGCACCTGGAGCGGCAGCAGACTCACTAACACCAAGAGCAGCAGTCCTAACAAAACGATAACCTCCACCACCAGGACGACCTCGCTGAATAACCCACTCACGAAGCTGCTGAGGGGTGGGGTTGTCTGGGAGAAGCATTGCCCGCTGCTGTCCACCCCTGGCCGCAGCAACTGCCGCGGAAGTGGCCATGACAGACAGTGACGGTCAGGAGTAGGTCCAGCACCTCCAGCTCCTACAGCGCCAGCAGCACCTCCTGCACTCCCAGCAGCACCTCCTCCACTCCCAGTAGCACGAGTAGGAGCAGCAGCAGTAGTAACAGCAGCAGGGCGGCGCGCGGCAAGAGCAGGGCGGCGCGCGGCCACAGCAGGGCAGTAGTAGGCAGTAGCTCCTAGGGCAGAAGCACCTAGGGCAATTTAATTATATTTAGGGTATAGCAGGGCGCTGGCGCAGGGCAGGGCGTCAGCGCGCGCAGGGCAGGGCGCTGGCGCAGGTTGCAGGGGCAGGACGCGCGGGCTGCAGGGGCGCCGCGCTGGCTGCAAAGGCAGCTCGTACGGGCTGCAGGGGCCGCGCGGACGGGCTGCAGAGGCGGCGCGCGGGCTCCAGGGGCGACGCGCGGGCTGCAGGGTCCGCGAGGACGGGCTGCAGAGGCGGCGCGCGGGCTCCAGGGGCGACGCGCGGGCTGCAGGGTCCGCGAGGACGGGCTGCAGAGGCGGCGCGCGGGCTCCAGGGGCGACGCGCGGGCTGCAGGGTCCGCGAGGACGGGCTGCAGAGGCGGCGCGCGGGCTCCAGGGGCGACGCGCGGGCTGCAGGGTCCGCGAGGACGGGCTGCAGAGGCGGCGCGCGGGCTCCAGGGGCGACGCGCGGGCTGCAGGGTCCGCGAGGACGGGCTGCAGAGGCGGCGCGCGGGCTCCAGGGGCGACGCGCGGGCTGCAGGGTCCGCGAGGACGGGCTGCACAGGCGGCGCGCGGGCTCCAGGGGCGACGCGCGGGCTGGCTGCAGAGGCGACGCGCGGCTGCAGGGGCAGCGTGAACGGGCTGCAGGGGCAGCGTACGGGCTGAAGGAGCGGCGCGCGGGCCACAGGGGCAGGCGCGGCTGCAGGGGCAGCACGGTAGCAGGGGCGAGCACGGCTGCAGGGGCAGCGCGGTCACAGGGGCAGCGCACGGGCTGCAAGGGTCGCGATAGTGAGAGCTAGGGGCGCCAGCGCGCTGGCTACTGTGTAGGGCGTGGCGCTACCACTAGGCGGAACGGTGGGCCCATGTAGGAACGGTTCCTGCTCTGATACCATGTCAAGAATACAACTAGGAATGATGGATTGGACTAGGCAAGAGGTGAGTACAAGTAGGGGAAACCTAACCCTAAAGTGTTGTACTCACTAAGGAGTGACCCTACTGTAGCCTAGAGATACAATTGTAATCTGACACTGTCCACCACTATGGTGCATAAGCCCCCTGTTCTGTGGGTTGGTGCATAAAAGGGGTTGCTACTAATGATCATTAGTGTTTCAGTGCAACCGCACCCAAGTGTTTCGGCGCACAACCAGGAGCAGCCAGCACCCCACTTGTCGCTGTGCTATAAGCCATGTCAGCGCTGCAGATGCTCATAAACATGGACCGTACAGCGCGTGGTATTAATCTGCAGTGCCGGCTACGAGAAGGAAGTCATTAAAGTCATGCTTACCGTCACGGCAACGGGGAGAAGCTTTCGCAGGTGGAGCATTTAAATAAAAATACAATCCCCTGAAGATTTCGGCCAATGATGAACAACTTTGCTGGATGAAGGCAAAAGTTGTTGAGCTTATGTAGCAGAATCACCATCAACACAAATGAAGCATGAGTTTAACATTATGTTACATACCTCCATTGACTAAGTAATTTACTGTCCAACTATGGCATTCGTTTTGCTTGCCCATTGTTGTGTTTGTATCTCGGTTTACTCTGTGTGAAAAAAATCAACGATTCCCTCCTCTGCTGACTGTTCCTGGTGCGTCACCTGCGCCTAAAACAACAGACAAGTACTTTACGAAGTTTATCGCGCATGGGGCGGGGCGGGGTGCAGGTGTCGGGAAAAGCACCACGAGCTTTCACCTGAATTTGTGTGTCGGGAGTTTCCATGCTCTCTGAATTTATTTACGATCTCTGCGGCGTGGAACTGGGGAATTCAAAATGCTCCAAAGTTGAGTGTGTAATTCTAGTACCAGACCTCAGACGGGAAATACAGTGCTGACGAGGTTCGAGAACTCAGATCCCCCTCGTCACTATTTCGAGATGGTGTTTTGCAGAAGAATTTGTAGAAGAGGATGTCGCGTATTCTGACCCTATACCCCACCCCCCCAACGTGACATACGCACCTCACGTACCCCGTATCCCCAAGATCTTCATTCCTTCTGGCCAGGTACCCCGCCAAATGCGTTAGGCTGAATCTCGCAGCGCATTCTCATTTTCCAGAGCGCGTAAAATGGAACACAGATACCGCAAAAACGTCTCCTAGAACCGAGGTGTAACCATGTCTACCGCTGCAGAGTAGTCGGCACCGTACTGAAAACTGGGAATCTCCTCGTATCATGGAGTCACCACCTGCTCGGCTTTCCTTGCCGGTAATGACCGAACTGAATGATACATAAAATAGATACAATCCGCTCAGCTGGTGATCAGAATATAAATCTTTCTGTCCCTTCGTTACCACGCAGTCAGCGCTCGTTCGTTCTCTGGTCTTTACGAATCCATATAGCAGCTAGGAATCCAGTCCACTATGGGGCTCCGTCGTTACCTTGGCTTGTCGATTCTTCTCTTAGTCGTCGCAGCATGCTTCGGTGAGTGACAGTTGCATCTCTACTTGTGCGACAGTCGACAGCATCCGTGAGATCCCATGTATCAGTCTCAGCGAGATGGTTCAAATCCATGCATTCAGGTCAACTTTCTATTTCCCTTTCCTCATTTCGTTTCATTCCTTCCGTTGGCGCAGCGATCACGACGGCGCGGCCAGTGAAGAACGGAAATGACAAGAACGGCGGGAAAGGGGGACCTCCGGACGCGGGTTCGTGCCCGCTGCCCAAGCCGAACGACGCTCAGGCTCTCGGAAATCTGACAGGTGAGAATGACCTGAGGAATCTGACGGGTGATAGGCTTTCTGGAACCTCTAGACTCATGTCCTTTTGAGGTTCGAACGGTTGAGATAAAACACGCAGAGAAGATATCATTACGGCTTCTAAAGTAAGATCCTTGCTCCTCTCCACTTTTCGCTACTTATCCTCTCGCCAATCTCCCTCCACACTTCGAATTTCCCCCTTCTCTCGCCTCATCTCCGCGCAGCGATTCGCGCCCCGCGGCTGAGAGGATCCCAAGTGTTTTGAGTCGACTTAAAACCCGCGTCTCATATTCTCTACCGTATTACACTTGGTTGGGAGGGCAGAAATATGAGACGCGGGCTTTAGAACGAATCCTCACCACCTTGATTCCCCCCCTTCACGCCCCTTGCCGCCCCCTCGCAGCGATTCTCGCCGCGCGGCTGAACGGATCCCGAGTGGATGGGCCCACTGGCGACGTCAAGCCCACCGGCCTAATCTGCCTCGCCGTCTTCGAGTAAGCCAACGGCCACTTGCTCCCCTGTGCTAACTGGTTTCCCTGTTTTTTCCGAAATTGCATTCTCAAACTGCTCACGCCCAACTCTCTACTCATAGCTTCTTCTCTCCCTGAGCAATGCACTCTCGGTTCCTCCCTTCCGCTCGCTTTTGTGAACCTTGACGGAAACCGTCAGGTTAGACGGTGATTACAACGTCTTCTACAGTATCGCCGTCTCCACCTCCGACGCCGGCGAGCCGTCCGCCGTTTCGATCTATCAAGGCGCGGCGGCGGGAGATCCGGGAACCCTCGTTCATCGCATTGTCGAGCTAGAAAATGGCGCCACGTGGACGAATCTTACTCGTCCGCCGCCTCCCCCGCCCAAGGGAAAAAAGAACAAGGGCGCACCCGCACGGCCATACACTTATGCCACTAACGGGACGTGGCTTAAATCGAGTACGCTGGCCACGATCGGCGGGCAGACACTAAAGGAGCTGGTGGATGCGATTATAGCGAAGCCGGATGGTTACTACACGACCTTCTCGTCGGATACGATTGAATCGACGACAGTGCGGGGGCAGTTTAAGTCGGACCCGGTTCCACCACCGCCAAAGGATAAGAAGGGCGGGAAGGATGGAGGGACGACTGGCAATGACAGTGAGTGAGACAGTTGCATCTCTTCCTGTGCTCCACCTGTGCTCTTCCTGTGCTCCACCTGTGCTCTTCCTGTGCTCTACCTGTGCTCTTCCTGTGCTCTACCTGTGCTACAGTTGACAGCAGCCATAGAGTCCGTCAGTCAATGCCATTGAGATGATTTCAGCTAGATGCTTTTAATCCAATCGGTGCGTTCAATTCAGCTGTCCATTTTCTTATTCGTCATTCCCCAAGTCTTATTCCATGTGCTTCGTTTCGTCCCTCAACTACGCAGCGAACACGACGGTGAGCCCTGGGAAGAACGGGAAGGACAAAAACGGCGGGAAAGGGGGACCTCCGGACGCGGGCCCATGCCCGCTGCTCAAGCCGAGCGAGGCCGAGGCTCTCGGCAATCTGACGGGTGAGAACGGTTTGGGATATCTGAAGGGTTGAGAAGAGAACAACCCCCGACGTTTGGCGCGCAGTGTGGCATGTCCTTACACGCATCGATGAGATAAGCACACATTCTACAATTGAAGCCTGTTGCCCTCCCCTCCAGTCGTCGCTTCTTACCTTCTCGCCAATCTCCTGTCTCCACACCTTGATTCCCCCCATTCACCCCCTCGGCGTCTCTGTGCAGCCATTCTCGCCGCAGCTCTGTTCTGAATGGCTCTTTTTCTCCCGATTTCCCCCCTCCCCCTTTTTGCGTGTGTCGCTCCACACCCCTCGGCATCTCCACGCAGCGATTCTCGCCGCAAGGCTGAACGGATCCCAAGTGGTTGGGGCCACCGGCGACGTCAACCGCCTGTGATGCGCCCACTTGGCCCTCTGTGCCGCCTGTGATGCGCCCACTTGGCCCTCTGTGCCGCATGTGATGCGCCCACTTGGCCCTCTGTGCCGCCTGTGATGCGCCCACTTGGCCCTCTGTGCCGCCTGTGATGCGCCCACTTGGCCCTCTGTGCCGCCTGTGATGCGCCCACTTGGCCCTCTGTGCCGCCTGTGGTGCGCCCACTTGGCCCTCTGTGCCGCCTGTGATGCGCCCACTTGGCCCTCTGTGCCGCCTGTGATGCGCCCACTTGGCCCTCTGTGCCGCCTGTGATGCGCCCACTTGGCCCTCTGTGCCGCCTGTGATGCGCCCACTTGGCCCTCTGTGCCGCCTGTGATGCGCCCACTTGGCCCTCTGTGCCGCCTGTGGTGCGCCCACTTGGCCCTCTGTGCCGCCTGTGATGCGCCCACTTGGCCCTCTGTGCCGCCTGTGATGCGCCCACTTGGCCCTCTGTGCCGCCTGTGATGCGCCCGCTTGGCCCTCTGTGTCGCCTTCCGCCTTCCAACTGAGCCAACTCAACCGCTGCTTTGCAGTTTCAATTCACCCAAGCTCAACTCAATTGACTTCACCTTGTTCCCAACTTCAAATCAAACATTCCAGAACCCCCTTTTCTCCATTCATCCCTTCTGATTGCATGAACCCCAACGGAAACTGTCAGGCAAGACCACGACTACAACATCTTCTACAGTGTCGCCATCTCCACGTCCGACCCTGGCGAGCCATCCAGTGTTTCCATCTGGCGAGGCGCAGCGGGAGAGGCGGGGACCGGCGTATATAATATTATCGAGTCAGGACAAACCGCCACGTGGGCGAATCTTACTCGTCCGCCGCCTCCCCCACCCAAGGGCAAAAAGAACAAGGGCACTCCGCCCGCCCTGCCTCCTCCGAAATACACCTATGCTACAAACGGGACGTGGCTTAAAGCGAGTACAGTGGCCACGATCGGCGGGCAGGCACTCCGGGAGCTGGTGGAAACGATTATAGAGATTCCGGATGGGTACTACGCATCGTTCACGACGGCTGCTTATGAGTCATCGGCAGCAAGAGGGCAATTTAAGAAGGAGCCGCTTCCACCGCCGCCAAAGGATAAGAAGGGCGGGAAGAATGGAGGGAAGAAAGGGGGCAGTGGAGGGGAGAATGGAGACGATCGGTTCAGAACTAAGATGTGCTCCCCGCTACTAGCCTTCTCCGACTCTCTTGCCTCTGCCATCTCTTGCCATGCTCACCTTCAGAATCAACCACACGCCGTGCCCCCTCCCTTAGTTCCTCTTCAAACAGTCCTTCCCTTACGCATTTGCTTTCGTTTCCTAACGGTCGATTTTTTCCTCTCCGAGATTCTGTCCAGGTGCGGTGGAAGCACGTCTCAACGGCTCCAATGCTGACCTCGCTGCTGACGTCAACGCCACAGGCTGCATTTCTTTCGCCGTCTTCCGGTAAGCTTCCTCTTCTCACTCTTCTCATTTTCCTCACCTTTACCCTCTCTTCCAGAACGCGCATCTCTCTCGCAACCTCACCTCGCCATCTTCCCATAAGCTGACCCATCATTCCGTTCTGGTTTTTTAGAATTCTCAAAAACCTTGCCATCTTCCCATAAGCTGACCCATCATTCCATTCCTCCCCCCCAATCTTCGTTCAACTCGATTCTACCCTCCATTTTTCTCAACCTCCCCTCACTCCTCCTCACATTTTTTGCGTTATCTCTTTCCAATTGCCTCTTGTTACCTTCTGGCCTCCTTACCTGCCTGTCCCATCACCAAACACCCGCCCCTCCCTGCCCCACCCTGCCCCTCCCTGCCACCCACTCCCCCCCCCCATTAGAAGCCCCACAACCAGCGACTACAACATTAAGTGCCACGTCAGCGTGACTCTAACCGACTCAGGCGAGCCCACCGGCTTTGTCATCAAGAAAGGTGCTGATGTGGCACTCAACGTGGCCACCAGCGATGGCACGTGGACCAATCGCACGCTCTCCGAATCCGAACGCGCCAACCCTGGCAAACAGCCTCCCCCGCCCCTCGGATACAGCTATGAAATCGGCGGCGCTTGGCTAAGCGCCAGTGGTTACATAGCGGATAACGGGCAGACGTATAAGGAGCTGATGGATGCCATGCTGGCTGCTCCTGATGCCTATTCTGCTCTCGTCTACACCAAGGCGTTCGAGGCCGGTGCGGCGAGCGGCGCTTTCGCAAACTTTACCAAGAGTGGTGGTGAACGGTCGGGCAAATTGGGCGTTAAAGCCAGCTATGGCGACTCTTTCCCCAGCCAATTGGCCATAAAAGTCAGAAACGGACTCGCTTGAAAGCCCATTGGGCGCGGACTAAGTGTACTCTTTCCCTAGCCAATTGGTCATCAAAGCCTTGTATGATAGCATATCGACCATCGACCTTGTACGATAGCACAAATTATAATCAAGCATCAAAGACAAGCTGGTGCGGTAGATAGTCAATGAATGGTCAGGTCACACTTCCCAGCAAACTCAATAATGCCCCGCTGAAGGAGCTGGTGGATGTGATTATAGCGAAGCCGGATAGTTATTACGGGACCTTCTCAGCGACTTGGGGAATCTGACGGGTGAGAGCGACTTGGGGAATCTGACGGGTGAACCCCCCGCGCTTGGCGGGCAGGTGGCATGTGTCCTTACACACCAGGGCCCTCCCTAGGATTTAGGGCATCCTGATGCCTCAGGGTAACTGCAGAATCCGAAAAAATGCCCTGATTTTTCAGGGCAATTTTTTAAAGCCATCCTGATTTTTCAGGGCTTAGGCAGAATTACATCCTGACCTCTCAGGGCAAAAAAAACATCAATCAGGGTCCTGCTTTTAGTAATTCTAGCTAGGCCTGACTGACGCCGCGACATCATCCGCGTTGGGCATGACTGACTACTAACGAACGAGAGAGCCAGCCGAGCTTCAGCAGCGCTGCTACTCTAGCAGGAACACTAGAGAGAGTTGGAGGGAAAGGCACAAGGTTCCCGTGCTCGACCTCCTCCCAGCCCAGCTCATTGAGAGATCCGAAGGGTTTGGTTTGGTTGTTGGTTGGTTGGTGCGTACGCGTGTCAAGGGATCGGAAGAAGGCGGGAAAAATACACGGTGGAAGAATCCCCAGGGAAATTTTCAGGGAAAAACCACCCCCCTCCCTCCCCTACCCTCCCCCAAAATTCGCGTCAGGGCAATCCTCGATATTCATCCTGACGCTACAGGGCAAAACACTACGGCAATCCTGAAAATTCAGGGCACATCATATAAGAACATCCTGAGAGCTCAGGGTACAAATGACCAGCATTCTGAAATTACAGGGCAAATTGAAAACCGCATCCTGAAATCAGGGTAATCAGGATGTTTTGCCCTGATAACGAGGGCCCTGTTACACACAACGATGAGATAAGCACTCCTCATTTCACTATTGAAAGACTAATTCAAGTTAGGGCTTAGGTTTTAGGAAGGAGGAGGATTGTACTAGCAGGCAGATGGAGTACATATAGGAAACCCTAAAAGGGTTGTACTCTCTGTTGAGTACCACACTACAGCCTACACAACAAATAACATTTTGACACACCCTCATAGGCGAAGTGGGGGATAGCCAACACAACAAGCAGTCGCAGGACCAGTTCACAAGCAAAGGCTAGTGGCAGAAGCAGAGGGCAAGTGAGGAGGAGGAGGGACCATGAGAGGAGAGGAGGAGGTGGGCGGCCCCGGAAGCTGCTGGCACACGGCGCAAACGGGAGTAACTGGCTCTGCTCGCCGGCAAGAGCAGCTGACCCACGGTCAACTGGAGCAAGTGGCACACGGGCAACTGGAGTAACTGGCTCCGCTCGCCGTCAAGAGCAACCGACTCACGGGCCACTGGCGCAACGATCTCACGGGCGACTGGAGCTGCAGACTTCACGGTGGCCACCTGCCTTCAACCTCCTCGCATTGTCCCAAACCCCCTTTCACACCCCTTGGCATCCCTAGCGCCACTCCCTCGTCTCCCTCACACCCTCCCCCCCCTCAGCGGAAGCTGCAGCAGTGGGAGAGAGAAAAGAGGAGCGGCAGCTGATCACCCCCGCCCTCCCCCCCCATGGCTGCACGCGCAGCAGGGAGATGAAGGAGAAGGGGGGGGCGGGGGGGCGGGGTAGGAGCTGCCCCACGGCTGTAGGGGCAGGCGCGCGGGCTGCAGAGGCGGCTCGCGGGCTGCAGGGCAGCGCGCGGGCTGCAGGGGCGGCTCGCGGGCTGCAGGGGCAGTGCGCGGGCTGCAAGGGGCAGGCGCGCAGGCTGCAGGGGCGGCTCGCGGGCTGCAGGGGCGGCTCGCGGGCTGCAGGGGCAGTGCGGGGGCTGAAAACCGCCGCACGCTCGGGGCGCGCGTCGGGCAGGACACCGACGCGCGCCCGAGGTGTGCGACGGGCAGGATTCGTCGCGCGCCAGGGGCGCGCGGCGAGCAGGATCTGTCGCGCGCCCAGGACGCGTGACGTGCAGGAATCCGCCGCGCGCCCGGGGCGCGCGACGGGCAGGAAACCGTCGTGCGGCGAGCAGAAAACCGTTGCGCGCCCGGGGTGCGCGGCGGGCAGAAAACGTCGCGCGCCCGGTGCGCGCGACAGGCAGGAAATCGCCACGCTCCCGGGGAGCACGGCTTGCAGGAAGAAAGCGGAAGCGATTGGTGGGCCCAACAGGATCGGCCAGGGAGGGTCGACCTGCTCTGATAGCATGTTGAGAGACTAAGTCAAATTAGGGCTTAGGTTTTAGGAAGGAGGAGGATTGTACAAGCAGGCAGGTGGAGTACATATAGGAAACCCTAAAAGGGTTGTACTCTTTGTTGAGTACCCCACTACATCCTACACAGCATATAACATTTTGACATTCACCACATGGACTGTTGCCCTTCATTCCTTGCTTCTTACCTTCTCGCCCATCTCGTGTCTCCACATCTTGATAGATACCCCCTATTCACTGCCCTCGGTATGGAGGGCAGAATGGAGATGATCGGTTCAGAACTCTTGTTGGTAAGATGTGCTCCCGCTACTAGCCTTCTCCAACTCCCTTGCCTCGCTGTCTCTTGCCTCGGCTCTCTTGCCTCGCCATCTGTTGCCTCGCCGTCTCTTGCCTCGCCGTCTCTTGCCTCGCCGTCTCTTGCCTCGCTCACCTTTGGAATCAACCACGCACCGTGCGCCCTCCCTTCGTTCCTCTTCAAACAGTCACTTCTTTCATTCTTTTTCCTTTCTCATTCGTTTTCATTTCAACGGTCGATTTTTTCCTCTCCGTCATTTCGTCCAGGTGCGGTGGAAGCGCGCCTCAACGGCTCCAATGCTGACCTCACTGCTGACGTCAACAGGCTGCATTTCTTTCGCCGCCTTCCAGTAAGCTTCCTCTTCTCACTCTTTTCTCGTTTTCCTCACTTTTCCCATCAGATCGAGCGTCTCTCTCGCAACCTCACCTCTCCTTCTTCCCGTAAAGTGCCCCGTCATTCCGTTCCTTCCCCCCAATCTTCATTCCACTCACTTCTCCCCTTAAGTTTCTCTCAACTTCCCCTCACTTCTTCCCACATTTTTCTCGTTTTTCTCTTTCCAATTGCCTCTTGTAACCTTCTGGCCTCCTTACCCGCCTGTCCCATCGCCAAACACCCTCCACTCCCTGCCCCACGCTGCCCCGCCCTGCCCCCCCCGCCACTCCCTGCCCCGCCCTGCCCCTCCCTGCCACCCACTTCCCCCCCCCGTCAGAAGCCCCACAGTGAACGACTACAACATTAAGTGCCACATCAGCGTGACTCTACCCGACTCTGGCGAGGCCACCGGTTGGTCATCAAGAAAGGCGCTGATGTGGCACTCACCATGGACACCATCGGCGCCACGTGGACCAATCGAACGTTCTCCGGGTACGAACGCGCCAAGCTGGGCAAACAGCTGCCTCCCCCTCCCCTCGGATACAGCTACGAAAGTGTGGGCGCTTGGCTAAGTGCCAGTTCTTACATAGCGGACAATGGGCAGACGTATATGGAGGTGATGAATGCCATGCTGGCTGCTCCTGATGCTTACTCTGCTCTCGTCTACACCAGGGCATTCGAAGCCGGTGCTGTGGGCGGCGCTTTCGCGAATATCACCAAGGGTGGTGGCGAAGAGTCTGTCAAACTGGCCATCAAAGTCTGGCGAAGAGTATGATATCATAGTGCAGCGGAAACCGTAGCACGGCGGATACACTTCCCCAACCAGCAAATGGGGATACATCAATTATGCTATTTCAGGATATGAGCTTGTACCTCTTTGATATGGTATGTGATATCTGTTGCCTTGTTGTACACATAGAATTGAATCATTTGTGTTTTTATCAATGGGCTGCAAAATGACTTTTTTGAAAAGTTTAGTAGTGGGTGTCACGAGATAACAGGGTGACAGCTCATTCGAACTCATTGCCCATTGATTTTCTTTTTCAAAACATGGTGCCTATGTGACGATTATATTTTACATACATTTATCCAGCCCTTTTCTATTACAAAGCGTAACAAATCAGGTATACACCGTCTCCAACTCACATTATCCTTCACTGGTTGGAGCTTTGCTGCTACTTGGGAGCGGCACCTGCGCTGACGACGACAACAGAAGCCTGTGCAGAGCACACGACACGCTCAAATTCTCCAATGTAATTGGATGCTGAAAATTTCCCGTGCTCTGCGGTGATGCATCAGGAGGATTCGGGTACAAGAATTGCTACGCTGTTCATGCAAGACGCCCAATTTACCTGTAAGTCTGGAATTTAGACCTTAGATCCAACCGAACACATCTGCTTTTGTTCATAATCGTTCATTTTTGCCTAAGCGCAGGGCAGGTGAGTACCATATGAAATACCTGAAGCTTTTCCCAGTGGGTTTTTAGTTACGGCGGAAGAGGTACTCCCGAAACTGCGCTTTCTAGGGACCTTCGTCTCTACCTGCACACAATTTCCCAGGCTTCGCGGCCCAGACAGAAGGCTTATTGCGCTAACACATAATTCGTCTCGACGTTTACCCACATGTCATCATCTCGGAAGCCATTTCTGTTGCTACTCAGGCAAACGGTGCACAACACTATTTTGCCTTTTTATCCGCACTAAACTAAATCCCTCTCGGCTGGCATGTTAATGAAGGGCATCAACACTAAACACCTTGCGACTAAGTGTTTAGGGTTGATGCCCCAAAATTAAAATTACTTGGCGGGCATCAACCCTAAACGCCTTGTCGCGTGGTGTTTAGGGTTGATGCCCTTGAAAACTTGCCATCCGAGAGGGGTTTGATTTTGTGCTTGCTGGCAGAAGACAGCCGACGAAAATAGTGCTTGCGTGATGTGCGGAGAAGCTGAGTTCTGTGTTAGCACAATAACTCTTCCACCTCAGAAGCGGATCAGCGGAAAGTGTGCGCAAGTTGAGATGAAAGTCCCTCGAAAGAAAGACAGCTACAGTAAGCCTTCCGGGAAAACTAAAAACCCTTTTCCAGTTCGCCTTGCTACAATTCTACCCCTCCTCAACCACGGTACTGTATTCCCGCCAGGTACCCCGCCAAGTGCGTTCATAGGAAAGCGCTGCTGAGCCGACAGCGCATTCGCCAAAGCATCTCGCAGCACGCAAATCTTGGAAGCAGGATCATTCATCCTCTCCTTCACGGAACCGACGTATATCGCTCTTATACCGTTTTTTCCCAAAGCGGCACCGTACTGAACGGCTTTGTAATGCCCTCATGTCGAATAATAATCCCCCCCAAGTTCTTGCTTAGCATAAAACGCTGCTCAGCTGCTCACTTCAGCAATTGCGCATTCAAGTTGTGTTTTCACCTCGTCAACGAGCAAATAAATCGTTGGCACAGTCAAACTAGGCATTTCAGTCCGCGATGGGGTTCCAACGTTACCTTGGCGTGTCGATTTTTCTCTTGATCGTAATCGAAAATGTCGGTGAGTGACGCGGCATTTGGCATGTCCAATCCATTTCAAACCGTAAAATCTCACGATTAGTTCCCAAGCAAGCTGGCAGCTTTCTGAGAGTCCACCTTTCAAATGCTTGCTTCCATGCGCAGCGACAACCGTGGCAGCGGCCGGAAATACGAAGACCGTTGGCGCGGCCCCGTGCCTGTTGCCCAATCCCGAAAATTATGCGACTCTCGGAAATTTGACGGGTGAGACAAGGAGGAGAAAAGCTTTCTTCACAGCTCCCGGCGCAGCTACGCACAGGGACCCACTGGGTCCCCCATTTCTTCTCCTATTGCGCCTCTGTAATCCTCGGCTCTCCCATCTCTCTCTCGTACCGCCCCTCCTCTATTTTTCTCGCAGCTATTCTCGCCGCCAGGCTCAACTTGAACAGATCTGCAATGATTGGGTCGACAGGCGACAAAGGCGCGAGTGGTCGAATCTGCCTCGCCATTTTCGAGTAAGTTCGAATGACACCATCACCTTTGAAGGAAATCGCTCAAATGTGCTTGCCGAGGGTCTTCCAGAAAGTTACTATTTTCATAAGTGGCTTTCCCGGTTGTGTTCATCGTCGCTTTTCGTTTCCGTAATATTAGGATCTCAAGTAACGAACTGCGGCCTAGATTCTCCTCAGTCTCAGCTGGTCTTTCAAGCGGTCACCGGCGCTAGAAGCGCGGTGCTTTCATGATCTCTCAAGCAAATCTTTCAACTTCTGAAGCAGTGCGAACCTTGCCTCCCTGGCTCGTTTGTGCGAACCCTGACTGAATCCGTCAGGCTAAACGGAGATTATAACGTCTTCTACCATGCGCTCGTTGCCACCTCCAAACCGGGCGCGCCGACCACCGCCTACATCGCGCAAGGCGCGGAGGGCAAGGCGGAATCCTCCTTCATCAATATTGCGGGCGCCAGATCCAAGTGGAATAACAAAACTCTTCTGCAACAGCCTACATACAAATATTCCTTGAAAGGAATGTGGCTTAAAGCGAGTACGCTCCCAACCTCGATTAAGCGCCAGACGATCAAGAACATGCTGGACGCGATGAAGTCGGCAGCGAGCGGGTATTATGGGGGATTCATGACGAATTCTTTTGCAGCGGGAGCATTGAGGGGGCAGTTTAAGAATGATCCTCTTCCGCCGACGCCTGGTGGGAAGGAGGGAGACAAGAACGAGACACTCGTTCAAGTTGGTGAGAACCCTTTGACACTCGTTTACATTTTCCGCTGCGCAATATACAAAACCGTTTCTCTCTCCCTCTCACCGATTCTGTCTCTTTTCCTCTCGGTCTTCACCATTCCAGCTCTCCTCCTCGACCCGCCCCCTTGAATTCAATTCAACTCTCACCAACTCTCCGCCACCCTCACTATTGTTGTAAAGGACTCTCCTCTACTTTGCAGGAACTGGGAGTTGTTCAAATCAGTAGAGCACTGTCTTAGCTTTCCAACGGGCCGTAGATCACCTCGATCGCCTAAGTATCGAGCGAGATATGGCTACTAATCTTGAAAGCTATGCTCTATGTTGAAGGATTGGAAACTCTCTGGAATTTGTTGTCGAATGCACTGTGTACAAAGTGATTCACGTTTTCGAGTATGAAACATGCAATACAAAGCAAACAGATTTATAGCATGCAATCAACATCGAGTCGCACAAGTAACCTCGAACCGCGGTACACTCGCGAATGTTCGAGTAACATTTCGAAGGGGTGAAATTCGACACTCGAATTTCACCGAACCGAATGTCACTTCAATCTCGAATGTTCCTGGTGCTGCCATGTGGCACCGAATTGACGAGTCTTCCGAAGTCAAACTTCAGCCCCACGCAAACCTGCAGCTCACCCGAAGGTGAGCACCAAAATCAGCACCGCTTGGTGGTTGGGGGCAAAACTCCCCCATGCAACCTCCAACAACTATCACTCCCCCACCCTCACTATCACTCCCCCACCCTCACTATCACTCCGCCACCCTCACTATCACTCCGCCACCCTCACTATCACTCCGCCACCCTCACCATCACTCCGCCACCCTCACCATCACTCCGCCACCCTCACCATCACTCCGCCACCCTCACCATCACTCCGCCACCCTCACCATCACTCCGCCACCCTCACCATCACTCCGCCACCCTCACCATCACTCCGCCACCCTCACCATCACTCCGCCACCCTCACCATCACTCCGCCACCCTCACCATCACTCCCCCACTCTCACCATCACTCCCCCACCCTCACCATCACTCCGCGACCCTCACCATCACTCCCCCATCCATCACTCCCGCGCTCTCACCATCTCTCCCCCACCCCCCACCCTCTCCGTTGACATCACTCTCGTGTTCGCTCAGGGGTGGTGGGGACTAGACTTTCGGGCGATAATGTCAACCCCAGGGTCCCTGGGGACATGTACGGCTCAGGCTGCGTCTCTATCACCGCCTTCCTGTAAGCCTCTCCTCCATTCCCTAATCCATGCCCTTTCTCATTCTCTTCTCCCTTCTCTTGTTCTAGCTCTCATTGTTTCCCGCTTTTTGCCCCTCCACTCTTTCACACCCTCTCCTGCTCCCCCCACTCTCACACCCTCTCCTGATCTCCCGTCACTCCTCCCACCCTCCCCCTCTCCCCTCACTCCTCCCCCCCTCCCCCTCTCCATCCACCTTACTCACCCTCCATCTTTTCCCAAATCATATTGCAAACCGCTGCTCACCATACGCACCTGCTTGTCCTCTGTCCATAACTCACCCGTTATGGCCCCTCCCTGTCCCTCCCTGTCACCCACCCTCTTAGAAACACCACCACTAACGACTACGACATTCGTTACCGTGTCACCATGAATACGAGCGACTCTGAGGGGCCAGACGTGGTTACCATCCTCCAAGGCTTGAACGTGCCACTCACCCTGGTGAACCGCGCGCCACGTGGACCAATCGCACAGACCCAGACGCTAATGTGGTTGGCAAGTACTTGTACGAAATCGCTGGCACAGTTCCGGGGACGTACAAGCCGTTGATAAATGGAATCATGGCTGCACCGCAAGGTTATTCTGCCGTTATCTTCACCAACTATTTTGACATGGGTGCTCTGAGGGGTTGGTTTGCCAAGAGTACGCTGGCAGGAGAGAATGGGTGCGCTATAGCGTAGAGG